GAGGGGTCAGTGAAGCCGCTAGCCGCCGCCGGGAGGGGGTTGCCCTTCAGGCCCCTGCAGTCCTCGGCTGGGAAATGGGGGTGTCTGGAGCCCCTCACTATCCACAGCACAAGCAAGACCTCGCTTAAGATCGCTTCGCACACCACACATTTCAGTGTCTGGGTTTCTCCCGTGTCAGTTTGCAGTTTGGTTCTGTCAAGTGTTGTTTAAAGCACTAATAGTTATGTATATTTTTTGGTGGGGGGGGGGAATAAAAGCTATTTAAGAATAATAAAAGTTGCTATTCACTGCACCAAAGTCTTTGTTTCCTTTGTGGGGTGTTAACGGAGAAATCTGAGGGCTCCCTTGGACAAAAAACAAGGACACCAGCCAGGAATACCAGAGCAAAACAGCAGCCAGTAGGCTTGGTCTTTATTGAAGACTGTCGCGACAGGACTCCCACCTGCCACAAGGTGGAACAAGATGGAAGCACACACAAAAGAAGACCCCAACTTTTATTAGTTACTAATCCCCCAAACTACACTCCTAGAACTACATCACAACTACATCATGACTACATCATTGGCACATCACAAAAAGGAGGGGTTGAGGGAGGAGTTGTGGAGTATCTTGTCACCTGGCTGGTTCCTCCTCTCCCCCTCCCCATGAGTCATTTCCAGAGGACAAAAGGGAGCTGGCAGTTTCCTGCCCCCAGAGGGAAGATCTGATCATTGTCCTTTGTTCCAGTCCGTGCTGAATCCACTCCCATATGCAAGCCCTTTGTGACCTTGATGGTCTTCTGTCTAGGACCATCAGGGTTGGCATAGCAACTGGGCAGGGCTCCTGTGTATGTGCTGGTATGCTCAAGGGATTATGGCTGGCCTGTATCAAACCTTCCCCATTTTGTAGTCCTTCCTTCATGGAGTAAAATAAAAGTGGAACAGTGCAAATCCGATGTATGGTTGATTTTCTATGAATTTATAACAGAAGTGTAGCGTATGTCGTGTGTGAGTGTGTGTCGAGTTTGTACAAACTGAATGATTTTTTTTGGAGGGGGTGTCCTGCGACAGTTGACAGGGTCTGTGGAGTCCAGCCTTTGATGGGTCTTGGCCAGGGGTCAGCAAACTTTTTCAGCAGGGGGCCGGTCCAATGTCCCTCAGACCTTGTGGGGGGCCGGGCTATATTTTTTGGGGGGAAATGAACAAATTCTTATGCCCCACAAATAACCCAGAGATGCATTTTAAATAAAAGCACACATTCTACTCATGTAAAAACACGCTGATTCCCGGACCATTCGTGGGCCGGATTTGGAAGGCGATTGGGCCGGATCTGGCCCCTAGTTTGCCTGCCCATGGTCTTGGCCAACCAGGTGTTTTGGACTACAACTCCCAGAAGCCCTAGCTAGCTTGTGATGCTAGGGCTGATGGGAGAGAATAGCTCTGCTCGCTAGGAGTGATGGGAATCGTAGTTCACAACATCTTAAGGGTGGCTGACTCGAGAACTGGGAGCACCAGCTGGCTTTTCCTTTCTGGTCAGGCTTTTACGCCTTCAGCAAATGCATGCCGGGCACAAGATAAGGGAAGCTTTCACCCTAACAGCAAGAAGGGAATGCCTGCCGTAACACAGAAATAACTCTGAACTTGGTTGTTCTATTTCTAGCAAGCAACTAGCCAGCAGATGTCACTATAGAGACATCTAGCATCTCAGGCCCCTTCTGGAAAACTGGACTCCCAGATCAATAAGAGCAGTTATACAATCTGGCAATGTCCTTGACGTAGCAGCACAGTGAGTATGTTTTAGATTGCTGTTATTGTTATACTTATTAGTCTTTTTTTACACAAAAGTGACTCAACAGCACCTATAGCCAAAACCCAGGTGCGGTCCTTGCAAGTTCTGTATCCGTATATGGTACAAATCGCAAGTCAGGGCCACGTTCAACCACCCAGCTGCATTATCGAAAGCCAGCAAAAGGATTCCTGCTAGTGCAGCTGGAATTTCTGTTCTCGTGCACCACGCACCTGGTGCCATCCCAAAATCTGCTCCAGATTTAGAGGGCACCGAGGGATGGGGAGAGAGAGATGATGTTGTTGTTGTTTAGTCGTGTCCGACTCTTTGTGACCCCATGGACCAGAGCACGCCAGGCACTCCTGTCTTCATGGATCACTGCCTTGCCATGGAGAAGGGGCTTGAATAACTCAGAGAAACTATGAGCTATGCCGTGCAGGGCCACCCAAGATGGACAGGTCATAGTAGAGTGTTTTGACCAAACGTGATCCACCTGGAGCAGGAACCGGCAAGCCACTCCAGTATCCCTGCCAAGAAAACTCCATGGACAAAGACAACAGGCTTATAAGAGAGAGATAGAACCACAGAATTGTTGGAAGGGACCTCAGAGGCCATCTAGTCCAACCCCCTGCAATGCAGGAATCACAGCTCAAGAATCCCTGGCAGAGGACTCTCCAAACCTCTGCTTGAAAACCTCCACCACCTTCCGAGGGAGACCATTCTGCTGTCAAACGGCTCTTGCTTCCAGAAAGGCCTTCCCAAGGTTGAGTCCGGGAGAAAATTCCATCGCGCACAAGGCAAATTCTCCTTAGCTGTGGAGCTATGTTCAATACAAACCTTACTGGCCTTAAGTTCCATTTCCACTCAAATGCATTTGCATTCTCGTCTTTAGCAATTCTGCTCCCTGGTGAAGAGAGGTGGCGATGGAAAGCAGAGGGAAGGCCTCGGGCTGTTGGGGGTTACTGGCAATCTTCCTTTCCCCTGGAAGAGAACACACACAACCCGGGCTCCCACTGGCAAAAGCTCCCTGTCTCCCTATGAATTGGATAGGGCAGGGGTCGGCAAACTAAGGCCCGTGGGCCAGATCAGGCCCAATTGCCCTCTGGATCTGGCCTGTGAACAGTCCTGGAATCACTGCTTGATCGGCGTGATTGGGCTGCGCAATTTTTTTTTTTGCAATTCTTTTCGGGCGCCATTCCCCCCGACACACACACGTCGCGGCGGCGCCTCCTCCTGGCTTCTCCCCGCCCTGCAGAGGAAGGGAGCTGAGCTTTCATTGGTGCCAGCAGCCAGCCAATCCAAAGCCTCGCCGTCCGCCGGCCTCTTTGCCCGTGGCCGCGCTGTGGGCATCGTGACTGGCGTGATAGTGATGGCGTCATGGGGCTTCGGCTGGAGCTTGGCATGCCGGCTGGGCCAGTAATGGGCGCCTGGGAAAGCTGGCCCAGAAAGGAGAGGCGCCACCACCACTGCTGGCTCCCAATTGCAGGCAGAGTGGCGGAGGTGGTAGGAAATTAATTTAATGATAACAATAATAATTTATTATTTATACCCCACCCATCTGGTTGGGTTTCCCCAGCCACTCTGGGCGGCTTTCAACAGAATATTAAAATTGTTGTTGTTTAGCCGTTTAGTAATAGTCTATTAAACATTAAAAGCTACCCTAAACAGGGCTGCCTTCAGATGTCTTCTAAAAGTCAGATAGTTGTTTATTTCCTTGACATTTGATGGGAGGACGTTCCACAGGGCGGGCGCCACTACTGAGAAGGCTCCCTGCCTGGTTCCCTGTAACTTGGCTTCTCGCAGCGAGGGAACCGCCAGAAGGCCCTCAGATCTGGACCTCTGTGTCTGGGCTGGACGATGGGCGTGGAGACGCTCCTTCAGGTCTACTGGGCCGAGGCCGTTTAGGGCTTTCAAGGTCAGCACCAACACTGGGAGGGGAGGAGCTGGGGGAGAGAGTGCGCGCACAGTCCCGCCCACCAAAAGGTCCGAGGGGCGGTGAACCAGCCCCCTCCTTTAAAAGTTTGCTGACCCCTGGGATAGCATTTTCCCCGTATTTGAGGGAGGTCATTGGCGCCTTTGCAACCAGTCCCAATAAAGATCTGAGATTCTTTTGCTTGGCCAACGCACCAAACCCAAAGAGTGAAAGGCACTGCAACAACTTGCCTCAGCTCCGTGCCACCCGAACTGGCCCTCCCCACCCTCCTAGCGCCGTCATACCTACGAGGAGGAGCGCTAGAGGCCAGGAAGGAAGGCTGGGAGACGGGGACCGTAGCAGCAGCATAGCTGTCAACTTACAGATTTGAAAATAAGGGACCAGCAGCCTCGAAAATAAGGGATTTTAGTTAACCAGCTGAAATACAAAGTTAAAAGGGACCAGATACCGGTAATTTGGGAGAGCAGTGCTGGTTTTTAGCCCTTCGTTTCCAGAGGTTGCTGCTCAAGACACCAGCCGATGAAACACTGCAATTAAATAACTACAAGCAGCAACCACTTTTCGCGCAAAACGAAGTCCAAGCTACGAAGATGCTGCTGCAGTTCTGTATCTTTTCTCTCGTGCTCCATCTGCAGCTCTCAGTTCCATCAGGCGGGGCGGGAGGAAGGGGGGGGGAATGGCGCCCAAAGTAAACCCGCAGATCAGACCATCTATGCTAATCTACCACTACAAATCTAGGGGAGAAGCGCTTGGGGTCCTTCCTCCGCTTTCCCCCTCTATGGCTAGCCCTTGGAACACCTGCCCGCGCCTCCGCCTCCCCCTCCTCTCTCTGAACTGCTTTCTCTATGGTTGCCCTTGCTCTCCTCTCAATTCATAGGCCATGCCAGGCTGCTCATCTCATCTGGGTCCTTCGGCAGCGCAGCCGCAGTATGGCCTAGCGGGAGTGGCGGTGGGCAGAGGGGAGGCCCCAGGCAGAGACGCTCAGTTCGGCGGCCACAAGGAGGATGGCAGCGGAAGGGCCCGAGACTCCCGCCAGTCCCGGTGGGGAGGGGCTCCCGGGGGCTGAGGCTGGTGAGAGGAGGCCGGAGGGGGGCAGACCGGGCAGCCAAGCAACACAGTTGGAGCCTCCCTCCTCCCTGGCCGGCAGGGAGGGAGGGAGGAACTGCTTCCTTTGAAACCTGGGAAATTTAAGGGACATCATCAATAAGGGACAGCAGTGGGACATGGGATAAGGGAGTTTCCCGCCAAATAAGGGACGGTTGACAGCTATGAGCAGCAGTGTAAAATGAGCAGAGGCGAAGGCCTGTCGATTTTAGTGTTTTGATTAGATACTTTATTGGAAGCAAAAAATTCTGTGCATGTTTAAAAAAATCCAACCCGTGTACACATTTTCATTGCTTTAAGAACCCAAGCCACGGAAAACTCAATATTAAAAAGCAGCAAGATGGATCATGTTTTTAATTTTTTTGTGGGTTTTTTTCTTTTTTTTCTCTTCGCACACATAGAATACAACAATACAGGAAAAGTAGCCAGGCCTTCCTTCCCTTTCGTTTTTCTTTTCGGGGGGAAAAGAACACATCCACCTGTCGTCGCCATTATTTAAACGCTTGAATTCCAGACATGCTACTTCCAAAAAGAAAAAGGAAAGATAAACCACCTCTTCAATATTGCATTAAAAGCATTTGGGTGTCTTGTTCTGCCCTTGAAACATACGATGACATTGCTGGTATATGCAAAGTTACTGGAAACTCAGGTCAAAGTGATGAATTTGCCATTCCAATTCCACAATGCAGGAACAGAGAGACTTTGCGTGTGCACATCCGAAGCTGGGGTGCTTGGGGAGGGGGCTTCCCCCCCTAAAGTCAGGGGGGGCATTGAAGATAGAGAGGGAGAGCCAGTTCTCCCCATCCTCCCCTATTTTAAACGATCACTTAGAAAAACGGAAACTCCAGAGGCCTTTCCCGGATTGTACCCTTCCCCAGCCGCAAACGCTCCTCCCACAAACAATGTATTTACAGTTGTGTTAACTTACACAGCAACTTCACAATGACTAGTACAGATTAAGAGAGTGCGCTTCTAGAGTGAGCATGTGAATGTGTGTCCCCACTTCCCAGTGTGTTTCTTGGATTAGCTATATCTCGTGACGTTGCCAAAGCTCTAAATAGATTAACAAACACCTCCTCCCCCCCACAAAAAAAATTACCCTTGAAGACAGTAAAAAAAAAAAGCAAAGAAATAAATATTGAAGGTTACCACGGTTAATTGTAGTCCAGTTAAAACGTAATACTAAACAACCAATTATTTAACCAAACTACGCAGGAATAACAAATACACGAGACTCCGAAGACCCAAAATAATAATAAAAAATGCTAAAAACGAAGGCAAAAGTCTGCATAATTTTAAGTTTTGTTTCCATCTTTTGTTCCCTTCCTTTTTCATCTAAGGGACTTTTAAAATCTACTTTTATAAGTACCCCCCTCCCTTTCCAACTCAGGAATAGTCTCTTCTGCTCTGTCTCCTCATCTCCCTCATTATGTATTAACTTTATGTTGGATCTTTAAATGGTTGGCAGCGTAGGTGTCTCTGTTCAGAGACAGATTCACAGCTTGACCAAGTTGTCTATAGTGCCAGAACCTATTTGAAGCCTCTGTGCCTCCCCCATCCTCATTCTGAAGACAGTCCAGCCTAGTGCAGCAACCCCAAAGGTGCACTGCAAACGGGTTCATTTGTTCTGTGGGGCTCCTATGTAGAGCAAACGGTTTCTAAACCCCGAGAACAGTATCTTGCAACTTTGCCCCTTTACAAAAAGCATCTTATTAGCATTTCAAAAAGGCTACTGTTTAGGGGGGGAAATGGCCAGAGGATCTCAACCGAAAAGGCAAAGCAGGCTAGTTTTGGTTTTTTTTGCAAAAGAACAGGCTGAACATCCGAGGACTGCTCCACAGCGCCTGTCTTGGGTGCCGAAGCATTTTTACCCTGCACACTCCCTTTTCACCAAATCCAAACGTTCTACTCCCATTTCCACTAATTCTGTAAGTGCAATATTGAAACATTAAAAAATAATAATATTACCAAATTTGTACCTATCTTTCTGGCGGGACTGCTGTTTTCAAAAGAATCACTGAAATACGCTAGGATCGTTTTGGCTCGTTTTTGAAACTTCCTTATAAATAACGAAGACACCGACTTTTCTTTTGTGCTTGTGAAGCTAACAGATCATCTTCACGAGACAAGCAGCAATGATGAACCGCGGCTACGTTACGGATGGGGGGGTGGGGTGGGGTGGGGGTGGGCAAGCCAATAGTCACATTGCTGCCAATGAGTCTGGGGAGGGGAAAGGGGGTGGGGGGGGGAGGAAGAAGCAGTGATGGTCTGGAGAAAGGTAAGAGAAAAGCAATACACTATATTAGCACGAACAGCCGCCTTCACTGACTGGCTGCTCCTGAGGCTTTTCAAGTTTGATGTCGATCACTGTTGGGGGAAAGGAGTTAAGGGAAATAAGAGCAGAAAGAGGAAGACAGCCTTCCAGGCTGAAACCGTCTCCCCTCAAGTCTCATTAAATGCCCAAACTTTCAGGAAGGACATGTGGCTCACCCCCCACTTCAAAGTTCTCCATATGCAGATTGCGTGCTCTTTTTGGTAGCCCTCACTCCTATGGAATAAGGCCTTCCAGAGTCTCTGGCATTGCATTCCCTGCAACCCCTTCCTGCATGAAACATTAATTCCCCACTGGGTGAAATCTGCAGCTCCACCTGCAACTACAGTGGTACCTTGGTTGTCAAACGTAATCCGTTCCAGAAGACCGTTTGACTTCTGAAACGTTCGACAACCGAGGCACAAAGGGCAGTCTACAAAGACAATGGAGAAAATTGGGGGGGGGGGAGAAATGCAGCGGAAGCCGTTTGACTTCCAAGCCGCGTTCAAAAACAGAAACTATTGCTTCCAGGTTTTCGGTGATCGAAAACTGAAACGTTAGGCTTCCAAGATGCTCGAAAACCGAGGTACCACTGTATAATACTGCAAGCTGCCCTATGATCCTCAGATGAAGGGTGGTATAGAAATTTAAACTACAGTGAGTGCTGGCAACTGATTTCCAAACAATGGGAATGCCTGGTGAAGTTTGTGATGGTTGCGGAGTCTGCTTGGGAAAGCCACAGGGTCTGAAAAGGTTTTCCTTTTGCTTGTAACCATCATCACTGAGGAGGAATGAAGCTTCTGTTGATTTTCAGTAAGTGTTGATTCCTTGAGGTTTCACAGAAAGAAGCATCACCCATCTCCTGAAGTTCTGAAAACCTGGATATCCCTCTGAAGTGTGATTGTGCATGTGTGCGTGCTCTGTGACTGAGAACTACCCTTCCGGTTTGCTCTGTTTTCTCCTTCCTCCCCAACCTCTTGTCCTTCTGTGTTGGGTGTTTTAGAGTATAAGCCTGAGGACAGAAGCTACATTATTACTGATCTTCGTAAGTTTGACCTGGGAGGCTTTTTGCAGCCTTTTTGCAGGGGGGGACACATCTAATTAAGGGGAAAACAAGCTAAAAAGCTTTGTATGCTGTGGGTAGTATGACACACATGTGGCAATAGAAGCCAAGGACCTTTGAACCTTTGTCTTCCAGCACTGCATGTCGTGTTAACCCACCAGGTCATAAATGCCTCCTTTATCAGTCTGATCAGAACAAACAATTCACACAGCCATGACTAGAACTAACAATTCGGAAGGGCTGGAAGGCGATAAAAGTGGCTATCAATAGCCAGGGCAGAGGAATGGCAAGCAAAGTGCCTCTGACCAAAGTTCTCCTTAGTCCATTCAGAAATCCGCTGCTACCTACATTCTAGAAGAGGCACAGTTACAAGTGTACTCTGATCTCGCCTTACTTTAGAAGACTGAACTCTGTCCACTAAAGTTGATGTCTGACATTAACCTATTGGGCAATAACGACAACGTCACTAGGGTTTTTGAGCGAATAAATTCATGAAGGGTTATCATGCCTTTTCTGTTCTGCTATCCTTGTCAGAAAAAAAGCTATATTCGCTGCCTTGTGGGACATCTTCGGGTAAATCCTACACAAATCCAGAGTGCAGTCCCTAAGATGGCATCTGCTTTCCTTTGACCATCTCAATGGGGGGGGGCATGTCTTGTCATCTGGGCAGCCCAGGACCTCCACATACACTGCCCAGGCTTGCATCCTGGGGAGGGTCACTTCTATGCTACCAAAGCATCCAAAACATGGGACTCAGCAATTACGAATTACTGGTCTCTGCAGCCACAGCAGACGCTGTGATTCTCCAGTTCGACTTCAACCCCATAGTCCACTCCATAGTCTCTCGAGACAGACGGATGCCAACAACCTTCATCAGGGTCTCAGTGGGACCAGGAAGCGGGTTTTCTTATACTTTCCCCCACAGCCACCTGTGATTGACAACTGAACTAATGGACTTTCCTTCACACCGTACGGCCTAGTCGACCCAATCACTGGGTTTGAGGTCAAGTGGCAATTTCCCTGCAAAGCAAACTGACTTGTGAACTCTGGTTTGGCGGACTTTGGGCTTACCTCAGTTGCTTCAGCTACCTGGCAGGGATCGTTTTCAGTGGGCACACCTGCACATTGTGCACTGCAATTCCAAGTTAAAATGCTCAACCCAAGCTTCTGATAATCCCCACCTCGAGTCTCTTTTGAAGAGCTCTCTTTTTGTACTTGCTATTCCCCAATTCAGAAGGCTATGCTTTCTTCAATCCCGTGGACCTCGACACCCACTCTCCTTCTTAATCCACAGGCTGCAAATGCTGGGCTGAAAAGGATACTGTCTTCTCTGCTTTTGTCCTGCGTGCTTTCCATCCCAGGCAAGGCAGCAGCCACACGTCGGAAAAGCTAGAAAGGGTGAGGGGGTTGGGGCAGAAGAAAACAGAAGGAGTAAATCAGAAACACAAAAACCAATTCAAGAGGGAGGCATCTGTTGCAATACGTGCAGCTGCACTGGGAAAGGGTCCTGTGCTCAAAGACTCCCAAGGCCACAGACCTGTGATTCTGCACAGGGCAAAATAAAGTCATGCATATCTCCCCCACAACTTACCGTATTGTTCACTCCGTAAGACACACTTTTTCCCTCCTAAAAAGTAAGGGGAAATGTCTGTGCGTCTTACGGAGTGAATGCACTGGACGATAGAGGGATCCCTTGGCTGCCACTGCAGTCGCAAGCTGAGGGATGCCTCCGCAGCCAGAGCCATGGCTCCCGTCTGTCACTTGCTGTGAAGCCAGCAGAGCAAGAGCCGCTGACACGCTCTGCGCAGCTCTAACTTTTTTTGCTTTAAAGCGAGAGCTGCGCAGAGCGTGTCAGCAGCTCTTGCTCTGCTGGCTTCACAGCGAGGCGGGAGGAGGGACGGACGGGAGCAAGCAAAGCGAGAGCCGCTTACACGGCTTCTGTCCCGCTTTGAACAGCTCTCACTTTGCTTGCCCATCCCTCCTCCCAACTCGCAGTAAAGCAAGCCAAGCACCTTTCCCGGTGTCTCCTCCTCCTCTTCTTGCTCTGGCGTCGCCACGCTTTACAGCGAGGCGGAAGGAGAGATGGGCAAGCAAAGTGAGAGCTGCACAAAGCGGGACAGAAGCCATGTAAGTGGCTCTCACTTTGCTTGCTTTAAAGCAAGAAAAGCAAGAGCTGCTTACACGCTCTGCTCAGAATATTTTTTTTTCTTGCTTTCTTCCTCTAAAAACTAGGTGCGTCCTGTGATCAGGTGCATCTTATGGAGGGGAAAATACGGTATCTTTTTTGCATCCAGGCAAAAAGAGGTGCCTAGCACATACCATCATGATGAAACTTAAGTGCACCTCCTTCTCAACGGGAGAGGTGGGCAACTGCTCATCAGTGAATTCAAGACAATTTTGTTTAACCAGGAAGTTGCTCTAAAGGTCAAGATGTCCTCAGGATGCAAGTAACTGGGCATTTCAGGGCAGTGCTAATACAGACACACATAACCAGGGGTGGCCAGCACAGAGCTTCCTGGGCGACACCCATCCTTCAAATCTCTGTTTTCAAAAAACAAGATGAGAAAGCTTCAACCTCTCATCAAAGAGGCCATCAAAAGAACAATGTTTGAAAGCAGCAAACCACCTCACCACTAGGATTCCCAAATCTTTCACCCCCAAGCTCTTTCCATGCGCAGCTTCTACTCTGGTTAATGGCCTGTGGCATCTCAATCTGCGCTCTGAGGTTTGGCCCAATATTCCATTTCATGGGATTATTCTTGCTCTGGGGAAAACCAGTGGGTCCTCTGTTCACCATGGTTAATCATACTGAGTAATCAAAGGGTGGTGAGGAATACTGAAAAGGCCTGAACACACCTTGGTCTGCATCTTCCTATGCTCATCCCAACGTCACAGCTTCCGCTGCCTGCCTGAACAAAGGACTCCAAGGCCCTGGCGGTGTGTTTAAGTGATTATATTACCCCTAGCTCCTTTCTCCTGCTGACTGTGCTAGAGGGCTCCCCTTTGCAGTATTTAAAGACCATACTTTTTTCTTTAGGAAGTCTTTTCTAAAAACAGAGTCACTTGACAGAAACCAATTGGATTACTGCATTTAAATCCAGCTGCTGACAACAGGCGTTTTAAAATACAGTAATCACTTCTTTATATTTAAGCTGGGAACAAAATTATGCCCTGAGCAAGGTTGTCCACCAAAATTACCAAACTAAAGAGAGGGAATTGGCAAGCAAGTCAAGTCAAAGTGGATTTACCAGTCGGAGCATGCAAGAATAAATCCAATTAGGGAAACGTTACAAAAAGCCAGAAAGCTGCATAAGGAATTCGCGGTCTTCACACTCCAATGTTCCTTTCCTAATGTTTAGTGCCTATTTTATTTGTCTCCTAGGGCTACGGATTTCTATGCAGCACAAAGCAATGCCACTGTAGCAGGACAGAAGTGCAGCCTCATCTTTCAACATGAACCTGGACATCATTTAGTGTTCCATCCTCTGTCAATATCCAAAAAACCAGGGTCCTGCCTCCCCAGCTTTTCAATGAATCTCCCAACTCAGGTTTCCCCAAGACTTGCAGCAGGTATAGGGGGTAGGCTTGCAACCCTTTCTTGGCAACTGTGAGATCTTTGAACCAATAAACCCTTGGGAAGTCAGGTTCCATCCCAAGGGGACACAAGGCATGCAAGCACACCCAGCCCAGCACATATACCTACCAAAACTCCAGAAGAATTATGTACAGTGGTACCTTGGTTCTCAAACGCCTTGGTACTCAAGCAACTTGGAAGCCAAACACTGCAAACCCGGGAGTAAGTGTTCCGGTTTGCAAACTTTTTTCAGAAGCCGAACATGATCTGTTTTGAGTGTTACACTTCCATTTTGAGTGTTACGCTGAGGTCTGTCTGTTTTTGCTATTTGTTTTGCATTTTTGTTTCTGCGGCTGTGTGTGTGTGTGTGTGTGTGTGTGTAAGCCAGTTCAGCTACTGATTGTGTGACTGCAGTACATTTTTTATTGCTTTCATTTTATGGATCAATGGTCTCGTTAGATAGCAAAATTCATGTTAAAAGTCTGGAATGGATTCATCCAATTTGCATTACTTTCTATGGGAAAGCGCACCTTGGTTTTGGAACGCTTTGGTTTTGGAATGGACTTCCGGGACGGATTAAGTTTGAGAACCAAGGTACCACTGTATTCAGTTTTATTTTACCTGTTAAGTTTATCTGCCACTCTTAACCCCACCCCATCCCCAGCCAATAGTCTATGCTAAGGGCCGGGTCATAAGATTCTTTCAGCATACAAGAATTTGGGTGGATCTAACTCTGGCATAGTTGAGCACACTGGGGGAAATAGTTGTTTGACTGTGTTACTGTGGGACGACTGACTACTTGACAAAGCAATCCAACAACCAATGAATCCAAAACAGCATTCTGATGAAAGCGGGGAAACTTCTGCAAACTGATCTCAGGTTTTCTAATGTGACTGCAGTTATTCGAGCTAAAAACATGACTTTACTCCTTTACTCCAAGAATATACCCCACTCCCCAAAATTTGGGGTGCTGCCTCCCCACCACTTACCTGTTTTACATTGTATCCTGCCTTTGCGCTAGTTTCAATAAACATTACATTCAGCTCTTTGGCTTTCCTCTCCCCTTCTTCAATAGATACTTGCCTGGAGAAAGAGAGAACACGTCGACCAAGATGACATTACAGGCGCCTGAAATCTTGACTGACTGCCCACCCATCCTGCAGCCGCCTCAATCCCCAAAAGCATTTACAGAACCGCTACCAGCTTCCACATTCTAGGTGGTCCAAGACATTAACATGAACAAGCAAGACCTGCATTTTTATAGCACTGTCAATGCACTTAAAAAGTAACAAGGCAGACAGCCCCCTGTGCCCTCAATAACTCAAGGATTTAATACTTTTGCAGATTTTTACACAGTTAACAAGAGATGCATATTTCAGGAAGGGTTGAGGACTTGGTGGGCTAAGCCAAAAACTTCAGTGAAGAGGTGGGTGTTTGGAGGAAGACTGGGAGTGACACCAGACCACTCTGAGAGAACAAGGGAGAAAGAGCAAATGTATTTTAAGGGGAGCAGGAAGTTTTGGGTCTCATTTTGGTGACTGAAAAGATGAAGCATGTCTCTAGGAATCTTCCTAACTCTCTGGAGGAGGTTTGCCCTCTTCAAGAGCACTCCTTGGAACTGTCAGTTCATATCCCACACCTCTTTTTGGCTGTAAGCGGTACATGAATCATCATCAGTTACCGTATTTTTCGCCCCATAGGATGCACTTTTTCCCCTCTAAAAATGAAGGGGAAATCTGTGTGCGTCCTATGCGGCGAATGCAGGCTTTCACTGAAGCTTGGAGAGCGAGAGGGGTCGGTGCGCACCGACCCCTCTCGCTCTCCAGGCTTCAGGAAGCTTATCAGCAAGCCTGGGGAGCCCGCGGGAGTTCCCGCAGGGCTCCCTAGGTTGCGGGAAGCAGCCTGCTGCCCGGACCGCGCTGAAGCAGGGCGCCCCGTGCTTCGCGCAGGCGTCCGCAAGCCTTGCAAGCCCGGCAGGAGTTGCCGCCGGGCTCGCAAGGCTTGAGGATAGCAGCCTGTTCTGGGGGCTGGGGTCGGGGGAAGCTCGGGCTTCCCCTGCCCCAGCCCCGCAGCTGGGGGGGGGAAATAATTTTTTTTTATTCATTCCCCCCCCCCAAAAGGAGGTGCGTCCTATGGGCCAGTGCGTCCTATAGGGCGAAAAATACGGTAACCTCTTAATACCATATGTTTTTCTTGAGATCCTCTCTACTGCTCCATTACTTTTCTCCTTTTGCAAACTGACCATCTGAACATCCTAATACTGGGTGGGGTGGGGGAATGAGCATATGAGTTCAAGATGCACTGACGTTATGATTTCCATATTTTCCAGGCTTCAGCTCCTCAGGCCTCCAATTACAACCCTATACCTGTGGAGCTGCATACAGCCCAAGGGCCAAATCATACACCACCCTATACTGTCGCACAGCACAGACTCTCTCAATATAAAAGCCGGTCGGATTGGCCACAACGGCAAGGAATGAGCTGCCTTACCTCTTATCTGCTAGATCTGTTTTGTTCCCTACTAGCATTATGATGACGTCGCTACCTCTTTCCGTTCTGACGTCATCAATCCATTTTGTGGTTTGCTGGAATGAGTTTACATCTAGGAAGGAAAAGTAAACAAGCAGGTGAAAGTCACCTTACAACATTCCCATCACTCTCAAAGCATCTGCGTGTGATGCACCAGGTTGTCATCTGTGTCAGAGGTTAATTAAGATTTTGGTGTGTCAACGACTACAGGCAGGGTGGTGCAGAGATGACGGGTTCTGGATAGGGTCGCCCTCTCATATAGGGAGCAGGTTTGCAGCTTGGGGGCAACTCCTGGATCCAACACTGGAGGATCAGGTCTTTGTCCAGATACAGTTGGTTTGCCAGCTATGCCCCCTTTGGGACAGAAGTGACTTGGCCACTGGACTCCATGCTCTAGTAGTGGTTCTCAAAGGCTGTGGCAGGCCGGGTAATTCCCTGAAGTTTGGACCACAGTGGTAGTCATCTCTTTATTCAAAAAGGGCCTTACGTCCGATCCGGCTAGTTACAGACCAATTAGTTTGCCAGCTGTAATTAGCAAATTATGTGCAAAGCATCTTCACAATAAGCTAGTTGATTGGAGAACTGATGAAGCTATTCTTGCCGAACAGCAAGCAGGATTTAGACAAGGCAGATCCACTATAGAACACTGCTTTGTACTAGCCCATTTTATAGATAAGTATGTTAAGAAACCAGGTGGTGTGCTATACGCAGCTTTCATTGATCTGAAAGCTGCAATTCAGTCAATCTCTCAAATAAGACTGTGGGATAAGTTGAACTCTTCAAGTATAAGGGTGTGGCAGGACAGGAAGGAAAGTGTGGCTGGAAGGTTCAAGGACAATCAAAGGGAAATTTAAACATTTCAGTTTAGCATGGTATAATATAGCATCAAAATATTTTTTTATTTATTTGCAGAATGTGGATAGGTATCTTTTCAAAATGAGAGCAAGAGCATCAAGTGATACGGCAAGCTCACGCCTCTCATTGCGTTTGTATACATACTTTCATATGAAAGAGGCTCGTTTATAATTATATTTTGGGAGTGATTCATGTTCTTATGTAGCTGCGTTGTTTTATACGTTCTGGATGTTCCATGATCATATTACAAAGTGTGTTCTATGTTATAACTCAAGCACTGCTAGCGGTTGTTTCTTTTTCTTTTCCAATGTATTTCTTATCAATTTTTTAAAAAATGGCCTGGCATGAGAAAATTTCTATTCTGAAAGTGAGTCCCGGAGAAAAAGGTTTGAGAGCCACTGCTCTAGACACTTCTAGATTGGATTATTGCAATGCGCTCTCCATGGGGCTAGCCTTGAAGACTACAGTGGTACCTCGCAAGACGAATGCCTCGCAAAACGAAAAACTCGCAAGACGAAAGAGTTTTTTGTTTTTTGAGTTGCTTTGCAAGACGAATTTCCCTATGGGCTTGCTTCGCAAGACGAAAATGTCTTGCGAGTTTGTTTCCTTTTTCTTAAAACCACTAATACCGTTAAAACCGTGCTTCGCAAGACGAAAAATTCGCAAGACGAAAAAACTCGCAGAACGAATTAATTTCGTCTTGCGAGGCACCACTGTACTTCAAAACTTCTTATTTTTTCAAAATGCCATTAATTGTTTCAAAATGGCTGGAGTTCTGTTTAGATCTCACATAATACCCATTTCAAAAGAACTGCGCTGGTTGTCAAGTTTGTCTCTGGGCTCAGTTCAGGGTGCTCATGTGAGCATTTAAAGCTCAAAATGACTCGGGTCCAAATATTGCAAAGACTTTTTCCTTCCCTACAGACCCTCTTGGAAGTGTGGCTCAGCAGAAGAGGCCCTTTTGGTAGTTCTGCCACCCACAACAGCTGGGGGAAGGGAGGTGGCCTGTGAGCGGGCATCCCCAGCAGCAGCAACAGCAGCAGCAGCAGCAGCAGCCCCTAAGCCGTGGAAATCTATTCCCACAAGGGTGCATCTGGCAACCTCACTATAAAGTTTTTGGTGAATGCTGAATATTCACCACTTAGCCATCACCTTTGACACCTGGGGTCCCACACTATTTCTGTGATTGTAAGTTGTTTTAAATTGTTTTCAGTGCTGCATTTAAAATGGTTGTACCTCTCCCTGTGACCTTAGGGAGAAGGGTGTGTAAATTATTAGTAGTAGTAGTAGCAGAAGTAATATTTTCAGCACATCCAGTGGAAGTGGGCCTGAAGTGACAGAAAAACATGTATTATCTCCTAGAAAAGAGCTTCAAACTGCATTACAGTGAACCTCTGTAAAAAGGGGGGAAGGGAAGACCTGGTAGCTCTTCCCACTGCCCCAGTTCAGAGATGGATAACCCTAAGAGAGAATGAATAAAATCTATTTACATGGAGCTTTCTTGGGACATAGGCTAAGAAAGCAAATAGGAGAAAAATAATAGCATGTAGCCATAGCTGAGGTGGATAAAAATGGGGCAGCACTCTGCCTCCTGGGCTATCCAACAGGGCAGGTAACAAGACAGGCTGGCATTCATATGGATGCACAGAGACTATAAACCATATCCTATTACTTACTTAAACTGCGACCTACTCCTTCATTAATACATGCTTGGTTCACAGTCTGTGGGCCCCCGATAAAAGAACGGTCACGGACCTCAGCTTTAAAAAAAAGGAATTTGTACTGCCAACTTCTTTATTTGTTAATTTGCATTGTTGAGAAAATTACTCCAGAATAGCTGAGCTATGGAGTTCATACAAATTAAACTGGGCAGAGAACAAAAACAGGAATATTTCTGTATGCTTGTTGTCTGCATGTTTCTTTCGGGGGGGGGGGGAGAAGAAATAACACCAGCCTTTCGGTGTTTCAGCTGCAGAGAGCCTGAACAATTCTTCATCTGACGAGAACTGAGCCCATTCCCCAGTTGTGAGCAAGAGAGGCGCTAAGTGTTAAAACTGCTTCCACTGCAGAGATTTCATTGGCCTATTTCCACCCGGGGTTATCTGAGGCCGACTGCTTCCCTAGACTTAAAAACAGAGGAAGTTCACTCAGCCGACGTGGACTTAAATAGCAACTATTGAGCAAGGAATGGCACGCATGCTCAAGAGTTTGGGGCAGGGGGAGTGATTGCCTGAACAACACTTTGCATCCTAAAATAAATTAATGGAAGAAATAGCTTCCCCCCCCCCCACTAAAGCCCTTCTTGAGGGTTAGGAAGCGTACCTAAACAAATGGCTTGGAAATGGGGGCTTGGAAGAGGAGGAGATGGGGAGATTTCATTCCAAGAAATTTCTTGCGTTGGCTTACCTTAAAAATAATTAACAAACATGAGGTGTTTGTTTTTTAAATTTTCAATAAAGTTTTTTTTTTTGGGGGGGGGGTGCCTATCTAAGCATCCAAGCCAAGCATGCCTTGGATGGACTCAGGTGATTTAGAGCGTGGTGTTGATAATGCCAAGGTTGCAGGTTCGATCCTATATGGGACTACTGCATATTCCTGCATTGCAGGGGGTTGAACTAGATCAGGGGTGGCCAACTCCAGAGAGATTGCAATCTACTTTCAAAATTAAAATCTGGCAGTGCTCTACCCCCATTTTTTAGGAGTTCAGGTCAAAGTTGTTGAGCTTTTTGGGGGGAGGGGAAATAGGGAGGGGGGAACAGAAGCAGCCACTAACTTTACAATCACCAGCCAGATGACAGCAGCCCCCGTTTCTAAACTCCAGCTTCCCTTCTGTAACAATAGAGGCTGGCGCAGGGAGAGGGGCCGGAGCCAGAAGGGATTGACCAGTAGATCACGATCGATGTGTTGGACATCCCTGGACTAGATCATGGGTAGGCAAACTAAGGCCTGTGGACTGGATGCGGCCCAATCGCCTTCTCAATCCGGCCCGTGGACAGTCTGGGAATCAGCGTGTTTTTACATGAGTAGAATGTGTCCTTTTATTTAGAATGCATCTCTGTGTTATTTGTGGGGCCTGCCTGGTGTTTTTACATGAGTAGAATGTGTCCTTTTATTTAGAATGCATCTCTGTGTTATTTGTGGGGCCTGCCTGGTGTTTTTACATGAGTAGAAGGTGTGCTTTTATTTAAAATGCATCTCTGGGTTATTTGTGGGGCATAGGAATTCGTTCACATTTTTTTTCTTCAAAATATAGTCTGCCCCCCGCACAAGGTCTTGAGGGACAGTGGACCGGCCCCCTGCTGAAAAAAATTGCTGATCTTTGCACTAGATAATCCTCAGGATTCCTTCCAACCCTACAATTTTATGATTCTATAATCAGAACCCAAAGAACTTTAGTTGTAGCCATTCAAGAGAACTCTGGCTGGTTAAATAACATACATTTTGCTTTTTTTATCTTCGAATGCCAACAATTCTGATTCCATCTGTTTGTTCCACACAGGATGATTTGAGATGAAGCTGCAAAAAGTTTGGTTCTTTTGCAACTTAAGTCGTTTTTGTTTTTTTAATTTAAAAAATGCTTTGCTTGTGTTTTTCATTTGTCATGTGAAGATAAGGGGTTTTTTCGGTTTTTTAAAAAATAGTTCTTAAAGATGTACATACCTCGGTTGGAAATGAAAGAGCAAAACTGATTAGGAAAGAAAGAAATGTGGCACATGAGAGGGGTGTGTGTCACAATCCTGGGAGCTCACCCCCAGCTATTAGGAGAAGCGGAGAAGCAATCAGCGGGTGACCAGTGGAGAAGCTCAGTTTGAGAATTACAGTTTGCAGAAGCCAAACACATGACAGTGACACCCATAGAACAGCAGATAACTAAGATGGCGATGAGGTCAGCTTGCTTTTCAGGAATTCTGGGCACACAGGGTGGGGTGGGGGAAGAGAAGTGAAAAATGGAACAGAAAAGAGGTAGAGGTTTTGCTTCAAGGGTGAAAACCCTAGAACACCTTTGGGCAAACGTACCACGGTCCACTCAAGAAGAGAATCTTGCAGGTATAATGCTGTGTATAGGAGACAGTGCTTAAAATTTAGAACATCAGGAGTGCCAGGGGTCTCGCTTGTGAAGTCTGGAGGAGCTCCTCTTTGAAGTCCCCAGTGTGCACGTTAATTTTGTGTGGCCAGCAGTGAGGAAATGCTTTCTGCACGTGCTCAAAGACACTTCATCAATGCATATTGCAGGCGCAAGCTCCGGCTAGCTGCAAGGTTCGGCTCAAGTGAATCCAATTCAAAACAGGTCCCTACACACAAGACGTTTGAAAAACAATAGAAAGTCTCCCACTTGAAGCTCCAAGCCAGAAAATATTCATGCCACAATGAGGAACAAGCAGGTGAAGGTGGTATGGCATGCACAGCTAGGCTTGAAGATGTGTGTGTGTATATAGATGTGAGAGAGAAAGAGAAAGAGGGAGGAAGAGCAGAGAATACCAGAAATGCAGAAATTTCCCCCCCACTCACTTGTGATATCATAAACAACAACTGCAACAGTGGAGTCACGAATGTAGCTAGGAATCAAGCTCCTGAACCGCTCTTGACCTGCTGTGTCCCACAATTGCAACCGTACCTAACGGAAATCAAGTCAAAACAAGCAAGAAAAAAAACAAAGTCAAAGCCAGAGCAAAATATACCTACTTGTGATATCGTAAACTACTACAGCAGCGGCAGAGTCACGGATGTAACTGGGAATGAGGCTACGGAAACGTTCCTGACCCGCAGTATCCCACAGCTGCAACCTGATCTGTGGGATGGGAGAAAATTAAAAAAAAAAGCCAAACTGCCACTAAAAATGAATCAATTTTTGATTGCTTTTTTTTTTTTAAGAACAAAAAAGCGAAGTAAAAATGATATAAAAGTCATGCATGGAAGGAACCGCTTTAGGGTTGCGAGCGGAAGCAGAAGGACGGGACTTTTCAGCGGCCCGCCCATTCTGGCAGGCAGGGAACAGATTGCGCAGCTGCCAATCATCAGAGGGCAGCGCCAATCTGCAGCTTTCCTTCACAGGCAGTAGAAGTGGGTGTCTTGCTGCAGCTTGCAGGGGAAGGTTTAGAAGCATTCCCTCCGCAGAGGGACCCTCTCTTGTGCCAAGGGCACGGTGGCCGAAAGATCAGACCAAATCGGATCTTTCATGAGGAACCAGTGGCTGTCAACAATCAGCTGAGCAGTGATCAAATGGGTTTCATCAGCAAAGCCAATCGCCAGCCAGCGGCCATGTAGAGAGAATCATTTTGGTTAAAAGGAGCGTGTCAAAACACAAACAAACCAGCATTCATGGCGGGCATTCACATAAAGCGATCTGACAATACCCCAGAAAGGACACATCGGGGCTTGGGGCAGTGAGAAGCCTAGGATCATCGGGGGCACCCACACTGCTGGACGCTGGTCTAGTGCTACAAGTAAATTCCATTTAGATTCCATAAACATCATCTCTGCCAATACATTTCCTAACACAGCAGCCTGGGGGAAAGCAACTGCCATGTTAAGAGATGGAACCAAGAGGTGGCAAACAGTGGGGTTGCCTTTTAACTTTGTAGTATCTGAGAGCAGGCAAGCTCCCCTGCTTTTTGGTTAAAACGTTTTTGTTCTCGTGGATCCTTGGGTACCGGGAGAGTATCACTGCTGTTTGACTCTCAGATGTGAGAGGCAATTTTGTGCCGGTCGAAGTACTGCTTAACAAACTTCGTTATTAAGTTATGTGTCTGGCATTATTTATTATGCACAGCATCCTGCATCCTTTGGGTGAAGGAACAAGAAATAAGTGATATAAACCAACCAACTTGTGAAGCCCAAATCAGCTCGTCTTGTGTTGTATCTGCCTTCTGTTTCCCACTTGAAAGGGGCATGGGTTTGAAGGCACAAAATGTAGCATCTTTGGCTCCATCACAGAAGATGGGTTATAATGAGATAACTAAAAAGGCAATATATATCCGCTGCCTCAGTGTTGTAGCAAGGATTAAAAACAATGTACAATAAAATTAAAAACTGGAAAGCTGTGTGTGTGTGTGTGTGTGTGTTTGTGTTTTTAAAGGGACAGCATCCTTTTGTGACAGCCAAATTTGAGCTTCTAAATCAGGCATCCAGCCCCTCTCTTTTATGGCTGTCTGTGATGTGTTAGGAGGGTGAAGGAACTGCTTTTTAACAGTTCATGTTTTGATATTATGCTTTGAGGCTCTTGAATATAGCAACCAATAAGCTTAAGAAATAAATAATACAAGAACAATAAAATGTTATTCCTTACAAGCAGCTCTGATTGCTTGGGTTGAAGAAAGAGCAGCAGATATTGCAAATAAAGAAAAACAGATGTAGGGAGAAGAGGACCACTTTTCCACTATGTTCAGTGACAGACCTGGAAAATGCAAACATCTGCATCCTCCTGGCTCAGCAGTGGGGAAGCTGTGGGGCTTCCAGATGTTGCTGGATTACAACTCCCATCATCCCTGGACATGGACATGCTACCCAATGATGGGAACTGGAGTCCAACATCTGGAGGTCACAGGTTCCCCCTCCCTGTCTCAGCCCAAGAACAGACTATCCAATAAAGAAGAACCACCTTACTTATTCTGCATCTCTAATTATGGTAGTAAGGCAGCTTTTGCTCACTGTGTTAATTGCTAGCTGGCTTAAACGAGTTTATCTGCAAAGCAAACAAAAAGCCAATCTGTAGAAAAATGCCCCATAAAATCTACAAGTGTTCCACTGAGATCTAGGTTTGTGTTTTCACATAGTCTGTTCTACAGCAGTGTGATCTAATTGTAAGCCCCCAAACGCACATTGAACCATACATTTTTCAAGCCAGTGTAGACATGACATATGGCACTCTGAAGAGTTTGCACTGACAGGGACAGAGGTAGCATCTCCAGCCATGACCCAATACAGACATGGTTGGAACGCGAGGCTGCTCTCGCATTTGGACCTAAGTTCCATTTAGATTGCGAATGTGCTTCCTGGACTAGAGTAGTCCAGTTACTACAAAAGTCTTACTCACTGTGCGATCTTCCAGGTACATGGTTTTTGATAAGAAGTCAATGCCAATAGTTGCCTGCAAAACAAAGTTTTCATCAGTGAGCAAATACGTTACTTTTTCTTAGGTTGCTTAGGTCGTGTTCCCCAAAACCAAAGATCTACCCTGCCATTTGGAAAGGACAAAAATACCTCATATATTGGCCACAATTCCAAGGCCACTTATTCCTACAATATTGAACAATGGGGGGGGGGGGACTCATTTCTGATCTCAAGTAAACGGCCAGCAATAATCTACAGGGATGCAATCACAATAATCCATGGATCATGAAATTTACCCAATGGCAGGATCCATTGGAACTGCTCGAAAAAGACTTGAACTTTCCTTTAAAAAGCATGATCAAACACGCACATGCAACAAGGGAGGGCAAAGAGTTATAAAGGATTTCCCAAAGGGGAGTGTCCCCAAAAGTGAAGATCCTCCTATGTTTTTCTGCCTCCACAAAAACCATTTCAAAGGTTACAGCACAAGTAGTGTGTTATGTGCCATACAGGAGATGGATGTGATCTGGCCCCTGCTCAGAGTATTTAGGAGAATAAGAGCTAGCAAGGGAGAAGTGAAGGAAACCATGTGGTGGTAAAGCTGGAGTGCTTTGGGAAAGCTATACTGATGAAGGTAATTTTAGACCTGAGAGAGGGAAGGTGGTGGGGGGAAAGAAAGGAGCAGCAGGCAATGTTTCTTTCAGCCATATTGACTTTCGTGCAGAGGACTATACTCAACACCCTATCTGGGAAAGGAAAGGAAAGGTATCTTCCCCACTGAAAATTAGCTTGGGAGGGGTGGGTGGCGGGGAGACCAATGCAACAGGATTCACATTCTTTCATAGCAACTTTGGGTGCTAATAATTCACGCCATTCCATTTTAGGTTTTCCAGATAGGCCATGGAAGCTTCTTGAACACACTTAAAAGTCTGGTCATTTCCAGCTAATTTCATTTCCAGCATTTCATTACGGAAGTTCTAAACACATCCAAAGCTCCACCTATTTGCCAAATCCAGCTGAACAAACACCTGTTCCAAAATGGGTGTATCTACATCACAAACTTTTAAACTACTTTAACAAGTCAAACCCTCTTCCAGAGAAGCCTGGGAACTATACTTCTGCAAGGGATCCAACAGAATTCTCAGCAACCTCTCCAAATGACAATTCTCATGAATCTCTGATACGTTATTTGCCCAGATACGTCTCCAAGACTGCTGCTGAAGAAGACAAGCCAACAAAGAGTAGTCAATATAGCTATAGCAACTGTTTTTCTTTTGTATGCTCAACAAGTCTGCTTTAAGATTTGAACAGAATCCCAGGCACATAGGTTCCCCATTATATGACTGACTGCTAATCTGCCCTTTCTCATGACTTTAATATATCCCTGTGTCTCCACCAAACACCACTGCAGCATTCCATTCTGCCAAATGTGGTATCTCTTTGGAATTAAGCAAATGAAGGATGGGATTCACAAAAAATATACACGGTGGTCAAAATGATATGGCCCCGCACGGCTTTCTAGACAAATAGACATTTCTATGCTTGCCAAAGCAGCAAAATTTGGTCTTCAACAAGGAGTATATGTGTGTTTGCAGAGATTCATATATAAAAATTTGAGACTATTTACAAGCATGGGAAAAACCTGCGCACACTGTTAGCAATTAAAAATGGAGCCTTTTGCTCTCCGTGCTATGAGAAGCCTCCTCTACAAAATGTGCCATTTCATCTCCTTCAGTTTTCCTGACACTCAGTAGGAAATGCTGCACTGATTTGCAAGTCTGTTCCGATGTTCTCCTGAAGGCGGTTTATTAATAATAACTGGCAGGCAACAGCTAAAGTCCTGCACAGCAGCTAGCAGGCACATGCACCACATACACACACACAGCAAATTTAAAATACAATCTTCTTAATTTTTCTAGTGACTGACAACAGTATGAGGGTTATTCTGTCTAGGTGCTGAGCAACACTGATTTGCTTGCTGTCTTATTTCCACCACCAAACCCTAGATAGCCCCAGGCTTGGGAGAAGCCTTTCAGACATAGCTTTTTATCAGGAAGGAGTAGCTAAGCTAGCAGAATCTCCCAAGGGGAAAATGAAGGAGAACAACAAACAGAAGCCCTTTCCCACCTGGTCTAGACAAGAAAGAACAGCACCCAATCCCAGCTTCTGATATAGAGGTCAGACCTTTATTGCATCCACTGAGGACTAACTGCCTCTAGTGAAAACTGAAAAGAAACAGTGACCATTTCCTGGACTCCAAGTTTACTTTCACATCTATCAAAGCAAGGGGCATTTCTGCACAGTTAATAACATCATCTGTCCATCTGTTCCCTTTTCCATGTAATAAGATCTTAAGTTCCAAGGCATGGCAAGTCTTAAGGTTTTAAGTTGAGGTTGGATGTCCCCCTGAAAGAGTTTGCAACTTATGAGGCAGTCTGCTCTGCCATGGAACATCTCGTACCATAAGCAAGAGTTTCTCAAGTTTTGTCTAAAGCCCCTTTCTTGTAATTGGGACCCATTGGTTTAGATCCTACCCGAAGCAACAGAAAGCAAATTTGTGCCATCATCTAAGCGATAGCCACTTAAAATCTGAAGATGGCTATTGCCTCTTAATAGTCTCTTGAACACAGCTCATTAAATAATTTTGCCCTTTAAGCCATTAATATGCTGGCCAGGGAAACTGGGATCTTTTTCCAGGAAGGTGAAGAGAAGGTGAGACAAACATCTGCTTGACTGAATATCCTAAGGCATGGGGATTGGCCTAAAATCATATATTGCTCTAAGACTCCAAGTATTCTATGGGACCAACATAGCAAAACGGACAAGATTGCTTCCTGCATGAATTCTGACAAGTCACCTGTCCTTTTTTAACCACATAATTCTCACCTCATCATCTTCTTGGTGGCAGCACCCCAATTATAGAACACTCCCATGAGATATTTGATTAGCACCCAGATTAAAAGTCTTCAGGTATAAGATAAATTCATTTTTATTTATACAGGCCTTTGGGTCTTAGAAGGAGGTACCTCCCAAAATTACTAGGGCTGTAAGTGACTGTTGCTGCTGATCTGTATAAATTTCACTGTAATTTCATGGTTTAATTATTGTTTTATTACTATATTGTTTGCTTTCGGTAATTTTATATTGATAGCCACCCTGTTTGAAGGAAGAGAACAATATTAAAAAATACATAAAATAAACCCGTCCCTCATTTGAGAAGTGCAGAAATGCAAACCACCTATTCTCCCTACTAGTGGCTTAGTTTTTAAAATTCATAATCACAGCATTCACATTTCAACCCTTATGGCTATTAAAATCATTTATGTAGTGAAGGCTTGGAAGCCACAGGGAAGGCCTTAGTTCCTGCCTATACAGTTCCTGAACCGTCTCCCCGATTGCTTTTCTCCACTATGGCTAGACATAGAGGCTGCCCTATTCTATATTTCATCTTCACTAAGCATTCTCTGAACATCTCGTATTTGGTAGCAGTGAAAGTTTCTTACAAATTATGCAAATTCAGGTGAAGTTTGCGCAATTCATTATGCGCACACAACAGGAGCTCCCCCTTGGGTAAAGGTGGTTTTCCCTCTCCTTAGATAGGAAAAACACACAGGGCTGGCAATTATGGTTGCAGGACTCTCTGAGCATGTGCTGCACAGGCATGAGCTAATGTTAAGACTCGAATCAGAGGGACAAAGACAGTTAAGCAAGCCTTACAAGTAACTGTTCTGCAGATGCTTCTCTCCTTTCACACTGCTGCTCTCTCCCTACCACGCCCCCCCCAGACAGAGCTGCCTTTTCCCAGCTACCAAAGATACTGCTGCCTGTCTCAATCTCTCCTTTCCCCACCCCTATTAAAGGGAGGGGGGCCAGACAGACAGTGCTTCACTAGATTAGCAGACAGGAAAAGCAAGTGGTGGACGGGCACACAAATCCAATAGAACTGTTCTGTAACCATTCAGACCAGAAAACATAACTAGGGTGGTGCTGGAAGGATGGGCAGATGCAATTCAGGGCCAAATTATACTCGCCCAATGCAAATCAAGGCAAAGTGAAATACAGGGTAGAGTCTGTCCAGCGGAGATGCCTTGCAGTTTCAAGCTTTTAGTCATTCACTTTACAATTGGTTCGTTCATTATACCAAGATTCCTTTCCATGGAGATAGCCCTATTATTATAAAGCGCTGAGGGTCAAAGATCCAAGCCAAAATCTAGGGCACATGTTCCACAGAGAAAAAGAGGACTGAAAGAGGACCATGAGAAAGACAGATGATTACATAAAAGAACTGCTTCAACGGCTCTGTAATTACAGTGGCCGGAAATGGAAAAGATGTTTGCTCCACTGGGAGGCTTGAGGCATATCCAAGTCGTCCTGTGCCACGAAAGCTTTGCCAAATCTGCTGACCCAACAGGAATTTCTATTTGGCCATTAGGTCAAGTGTTGCTCACGTTGCAGGAAAGACTAATTTGTAACTGGAAGGAAATACTGTATTTTTCGCCCCATAGGACGCACTTTTCCCCCTCCAAAAATGAAGGGGAAATGTGTGTGCGTCCTATGGGGCGAATGCAGGCTTTCGCTGAAGCCTGGAGAGCCCGAGGTATCGGTGCGCACCGACCCCTCTCGCTCTCCAGGCTTCAGGAAGACATCCGCAAGCCTTGCAAGCCCGGCGGGAGTTCCCGCAGGCAGCAGCCTGCAGCCCGAAGCATGGGGCGCCCTTCGGAGGGCGCCCCGTGCTTCGGGCAGGTGTCCGCAAGCCTCGCGTGCCCAGCAGGAGGTGCCGCCGGGCGCCCGAGGCTTGGGGCGGCAGCCTGCAGCCCGAAGCACGGGGCGCCCTCTGGAGGGCGCCCTGTACTTCGGGCAGGTGTGCGCAAGGCTTGGGGTGGCAGCCGCGGCTGGGGGGGGGGGGGAAATAATTTTTTTTTATTCATTTCCCCCAAAAAAACCGAGGTGCGTCCTATGGGCCGGTGTGCCCTATAGGACGAAAAATACGGTATGTTAAGAACTACCCTTACATATTATTTTAAATTAGGGGGAAAGCACCCCCAAAGTGTGTTTAGCAAGCAGCCCATATGCAGAGGGACTTCTTAAGCCCAGCATGTGGGGTTTCCTTGATGACTTAAGATGTATTTGGAGATGGGATTCTCAGGAGCACCTTGCTGCCCAATACTTACAATGCATGCAATTGCTCTCTTAGTGATGTCTGGGCTCCATCCTAGAAGCTAGATTCACTCAACTGCAGTTTGCAGAGAGTATTTCCTCACCAAGAACAACCAACAATATCAAGTGTACGAAGCCCGAATACCACAAGCTAGCCCTACATAGAAAGTAAAGGTAAACATAAAGGGACCCCTGAACATTAGGTCCAGTCGTGGCCAACTCTGGGGTTGCGGTGCTCATCTCACTTTATTGGCCGAGGGAGCTAGCATACAGCTTCCGTGGCCAGCATGACTAAGCCGCTTCTGGCGAACCAGAGCAGTGCACGGAAACACTGTTTACCTTCCCGCCGGAGGGGTACCTACTTATCTACTTGCACTTTGTGCTTTCGAACTGCTAGGTTGGCAGGAGAAGGGACCGAGTAATGGGAGTTCACCCTGTCGCGGGGATCCAAACCGCCGACCTTCTGATCGGCAAGCCCTAGGCTCTGTGGTTTAACCCACAGTGCTACTCGCATCCCACACATAGATAGTAGGCATGTGAATTTGCTATGTGTGTATCCTGCACCCCATAGTCACCTTTGACTGGACTTAACCATCCAGGGGTCCTTTACCTTTACCTTTCCTGATTTATAAGGCAAATCAGCATGATCTAGGTAAATTCTTATGTCTGAGCTGGGTCAAGCTGTTAACAAGATGTCTCATGGCAGATCAGGGACTCCCTAAGCTTCCAAGTGGCTTTGGTTATTCAAACAAAATGTACGGCCATTTTTTTCTCCCACTTTGAAAAAGGAAACCAATCTCCCAGCGCACAAATTAATATTATTTTTAAAAGCAAGTAGAAGGGGTCTATTGTCTCCCAGCTGTACAGTGTTAAAATCACATGAAAGTCTCTATTATTGGGAACTCGCACTGGATTATGCATTATATAAGTTGACATTTGTAAATCATGAAACAAATACTGTCTTACCTGGTAGGTGTTGTCAAAGCTGTCATACATGAACCTGGTGATCAAAGAGGTCTTCCCCACTGGAAGACAAAATTGAGAGAGTATTAGTCACATCCAAAAAATGCATTCCAGGTGTTACACTTAAGTTGTAGCAGAAGATTGGCATATAATCAAACCCACAAAGAGGAAAATCGTCCAGTACAGATAGCATTTGAGAGTGAAGATGCTTCAGGTGGGGGAGGCAACACCAGATCAGAGCAAGAGACTACAAAAAGTTACTAGCTTTACTCTTTTTTTACCATCTTGTGGTTGCCTAGAACCTCAAAGGCGTAGGGTTCTTAGATGCCGTTTTTCGGGGGGGGGGGGAGAGACAATCTTTGACATATTCTATAGAAGTATTTATATACAGCCCCACTCATAAAATCTCAAGGTGTGCACAATATAAAATATCATAAAACCAGACAAAATATACTGTTATCTACTCAGTACATCCAACAGGGGGAAATACATAACAAGATCTTAAATTATAAGCTCTTACATTAGGATTGTTATAAAAGACTATCATTTGCAAAACCTTTAAAGTACATTTCATCCAAGTTTTCCAAGATTTTGATCTGCGAGTTTCATTTCAGCCTACATAATGACTATTTGTGTGGCTCATATTGGACACACTTCCCTATAAGGTGACAAAAAGGATCTCTTTCATATGAATGTCTTCAAGTACTGGGATCTCACCATTTTAATTCAGTGAGGACTGTTAATGTGCAAGATTGCTGAAGTGATAGCACAATGAAGTACCTTTCCAGAGATTATAAGAATCAACAATAGCCGCTTCCTGCTGTGTCTGTAATTAAAGAGAAGCAGTGGGCTCCGTTCTTAATATGAACAGATTTACATAATGCAAGAACGCCCACTCAAAAGTTCGAGTACAGTATTCAGAGGAATGGGACTTGAGGATTCGGTGACACAATACACTCCTGTGTTCAAAGCACTCCACCCTTTGTAAGAGAATACCAGCCAGTAGAGCAAACAAGTAATGGAATCTGAACTGTTACTAATATTTACTCTCCCTGCATTAGAAGGGCATTATAGCCTATCAGGACCCAAGAGGAGTGTACTGGATCAGGCCAGCAGCCCATCTATGCTACATTCAATCTCACCTTCTGTGGGAGGGAATTCAATAAATGAATCCCTGTGGACCATGTGTGTGGGTGAACAACAAAAGAATTGGTGGGGTGCTTGGATTCAAAATATGGGGCTAGCAAAAAGAGAGCCCCACTGGCAAAGTATTAAACTCATAACAATAAGCAGCACTATAAAGTGTTAGGAATACAGGTTGCTAAACCTTTTTATGCCGTTGAGCTTCTAGCTCTCTTGCAATCAGCAGACCACACACTGCTAAGTTTAAAACGTTTCACTTGCAGACTCAAGGTATCAGTCATGCATTGTTCTGTGCAGCAACACGGGTAGTACAGGCAGAAAACCCTTGGGTAGAAAATACAGAATATAGTTCCAAACCAGTGCTCAAAGTTTGGGAATAAGCTTTCACATGCTATCCTTCATTGGTTACATGGTGTGGGAAGGAGGGAGGGAGAAAGGAAGTGGAAAGGCTTCACTTCCTCCCTCCCCAAAGGAGAGGGTTGTACCTAGCTGAGTCTGTCTAGCAATTCAACTCTATTTTCCTCTACCCCTTCACGCACTAACTAGCAGTCCTGTATACAGTCATACCTCATGTTACGTTTGCTTCAAGTTGAGCATTTTCAGGTTGCGTCCCGTGGCAACCCAGAAGTACTGGAACGGGTTACTTCCGGGTTTCGCCGCTCGCGCAGACATGCAAAATGTTGTCATGCGCATGCGCAGAAGCGGCGAATTGCAACCCGTGCGTGCGCAGATGCGGGTTGCGTTCTTTTCAGGTTGCAAACGGGCCTCCGGAACGGATCCCGTTCACAACCAGAGGTACCACTGTAGTTACATTTGCCTGCAATCTCTCACACCCAACGGGCACACAGGAACACTATTCAACATTCGTTATATGCTATCATTAAGGTAACCTAATACAGCAGTGGCATTCTGTGCCTAGGGATTGTAATCAACAGTAGGCCAGACTTGCAACCAATAATTTCCAGGTCTGATCACCAGCATAGCCAGATGGAGCTGGGAAAAGGTGGCCTCCTAAGTGCCTGGAATTGCTGGATCAGTGGTTTTCCAAAATCCTACCATCAGGGAATCAATGTAAGAAAAGGACTCATATATGCAGGAATCCTTGCATAGCTGCCATGAAACCAATGTATGTTGCAGCAGGGAATTCTGGGAGTGATCCTGAGTCCACACTGTGAGAAGTGAGGTTACAGGGAAACAGGCAGAGGGTCTTCTTGGTAGTGGCACCCACCTGTGGAACGCCCTCCCATCAGATGTCAAGGAGATAAGTAACTATACAACCTTTAGAAGACATCTGGATGGTTTTAGTGCTTGTTTCTGGATATTCTGGAAGCCACCCAGAGTGACTGGGGCAACCCACTCAGATGGGTGGGGTACAAATAATAATAAAATAAAGTAAAATAAAGTAAAATAAAAACAATAAGATGCTCTCTGAAAGCAAAAGCGCCTGAAAACTTAATGGATGCCAAGATTGTGGATTCTAGTGAATACTGTTGCTGAAATCAGAGAGTGTTTTCAGCATGGCCAAACAAAAAGCTGGAAGGCAGTTAAGGTGTGTTTTATTCTGTAAGAAACTATTTCTGTATTTTATTCTGTAAGAAACTATTTGTTATGGAAAGCAAGCTTCATTTTACTACCACTATTCTGAGTGCTCTTTCGTATTACTTTAGAGGTCTGCCAACAATCTTGGGGGTTCGCAGGTCAGGTTTCATAAAATACTTAAACTTTTATTAAACTTTCTCAATTGGTGCTTAGTTTCAAACAGCCATTCAGCCTGCTACCTTAACTGATTTCTGCTACTCTGTTATCTACTGCGAGGGCTTTGTTTTAGTTCTATTTAATGAAATTTAATGAAAAATTTATTTCCCAGGGGAAATGGGAATTAGAAAAGATTCAAGGAAAATTCAAAGAAAGGCTTTAAATAAAAAAAAGATGTATCTTTCAAAAAGAGCCTTTCTTACAAACCCCGAAGGACTAAGCTAAATTAATGTATGTTAACTACTGGAGATAAAGCTAGCATACAGAATATTTAAGAGAGTCCAAAAAAGTAGTGGCTGAGCATGGAGGTACTTCAGACTCCACAGGCCAGAACCCAGCTTGTGGAAGGCTAATCTTTGCAAAAGCAGATATTTTTCCACTTCCCCATCTAATCATTAGACAGAGGGGGAAACAAGAGTAGAAAGGTAGAAAGCAGTGGTGTCCAAACTTTTTTTCAAAGAGGGCCAGATTTGATGAAGTGAAGGGCCGACCAAAAGGCCGACCAAAGTTGTTGAGCTTTTTTCTTTTTTTAGGATTTAACCCCGAAGTTGAGTTGCTGAGCTTCTTTTAGGATTTTACCCTAGGAAATGAACTGCCACAGGGCCTGGATAAACCGACCAGTGGTAGAAAGGATACAATGCCCAGCTAGCCTGAGTTTACATGTTTAAGAACTCTCTTCTGCTTACATTACATTCTACCAAGTAAATACTCTGGGGTGGGTTCGGCTAAGAAGAATTCTAAAAGTCTCGTGCTAACCACTTTCATTAGAGGATACCCAGCAAGTTTTAATGCTGAGGGCTTATCTACACAACGTTTCCCCCGCTCTTTCCAGGTGCAGATGTAGGCTTCAAAGCTCTTTAGTGCTCAATTGGAACAAATTTGGGTTTTCTGCAGTTTGCCATTTGCTCCGATATAGTTCTGAAGAGCGGGTTTTTGCAGGAAAACTCCAGAGCAAAAAGAGGGCAGGAGGGTGTCTGGATACAGAGCTTTAAAGTGCATACCATGCCTGGTAAGGTAAGTGTGGATAAGCCCGGAATGGAAATTTAAACCTGGTTCCCAGCTCTGCCTAAATCTCACAGCAGCCAATGCATACACAACAGGATAGCCTATGGAACAGCTCTTTCACATCAGCTAAGCACATCAAGTACTGAGTGGAAAGTTCAATGTCTAAATATCAGACATTTAAGAGTATATTTCTGAAAGCTAGCAAGTAAAGCTAAAGCAGCTATTTCTAGTGAGAGCAGCTGCTCACATGGATTCAAGCAGCCAGGAACATCATGTACTGCTAGGAGAGCAGGAGGGGAGTCTACTGCCTCAGTCGTCGTTCAGTGGCTTGCATGTGCAATGGTGAGCTTTTAGGCAAATGTTCACACAAAATGGTGACATCTCATAATTCTGCACACCAGTCAAATTAAAATGTAAGGAAATGTGGCAATTAGCCAGTGGCTTGAGGAAAAGAAAGGTCCTGTCTTGGCAAGGAATTTGGTCGCATTGCCCTTCAAACAGCTCTAGGACAGAACATAGGCAAGCTTTCAGGGTTAGCACTTATCTACATGGCTACACTGCTATAACTTTAGTTCAGCTATTTGAAAGCATTCTTTTTGCCAATGATGACTCTGGTGTTTGAAAGCTAAAATGCAAGTCTTGCAACTATTTCCCTGGCTACCACTACATAATTGAGGAGTTTGAACTGCACGCTTTGTGCAAGGAATTGATGCATGGATGGGGGAAAGGCAAATATGCAATCCTGCTTTGATTCCATTCCATTGGGAGGAGCCAACAGGTATTCTGGGAACCTTCCCCGCCCCCCCCCCGCCATGCCCTGTTTCCATTTAGAAGCTCCTCTGATTGGATTGAACAGTTGAAAATTTATTTTAAAATGTATTGACAGCTTTCCAAAAGTTCAAAGCTGAGTGCAATAGGCACCTTAAACAGAACCTCAGTAGACAAAATGAGTAACCTTAAACTGAAAGAGTAATAAAATAAAATTAGAGGGCAATAGGATGCACCAACATGAAATCACACTAAGAGCTAAACTGGTATTGAACCAAAGCCCGAGTAGCTATTCCCCACACTGCATATTAAAAACAAACACAAAACAATACATACTATTTTGTACTCAAATAAGGGCAAGAACCTCTATATTTTGCTTTTTCAGTTCTCATTCCAACAAAGTAAAGTACGAATAGGTTCATCACTCAAATCAATCTTGATCCCTGAATCAATTGGCTGGTGCCAGCCAAGCGCTGGGTGCAACTGCAAAGGGACCTGCATTGCAGCTTCCAAGTTGCTTGTCTCGCTAGCTACAATGAGCAAATACCTATGATTCGCCAGGGCCTGCTGATGAGAGCCCACTCAGAAAGCATGGGCAAGAGCTCTGCTCATCATCTCTGTGGGCTTAATTTGATCCATTAGCGCTACAACCTGTTCTCAACACCAGGCTTCTGCTCTGGAACACAGGTAAAAGAGTTTCTTTGCATATGTATGCACAAAGTGCTGTTCCTCACCAATAAGTAATCACTACTAGGCCCCACGAATCTATTACAGAGGACTTCCAGCCGTGCTTGTGATATATGGGCTTGAACTGCAGCACTTCCCACCAGTGATTCTTGGTAACCTGCTCACCTGCTTCTAATCACTGGTGTTCAAGTTCGCTGTTACATTAAGAATAAGCAACTATGAGTTGATTCATTTGATCAGCCTGCTGTCCAAAAGTGAGATACCGCATTGGCATGAATATAAGCCACACCGTCGGCCAAATGGTGTTAAAAAAGGATAGAACTTTCTTTATGTATGCAACAACAGCAGCAAGAATACTCATCGCAAAGTATTGGAAGACACAAGAACTTCCCACGCTGGAGGAATGGCAGATGAAACTTATGGACTATATGGAATTGGCGGAAATGACTGGTAGAATCCGTGACCAGGGAGAAGAGTCGATGGAGGAAGATTGGAAGAAATTTAAAGACTATCTTCAGAAACATTGCAAAATTAAAGAATGTTAGAGTGATGTTGGACTGAAAATAAGCGGTTTCCAGCTGTACAGGTTAAAGTTAATGATAGACTAAGATTAAAGATAGGATTAAAGTTGTTTAAAGAAATGGAAATTTGACATTAAGAGGAAAAATTTTAACGTTATATGATACTAAGACCAAAGATCAGGCTTAAAGAAGTTGAAGTTATATATTTCAATATCTTATTAAAGCTAAAGATTGGGATTAAAAAAGTGGAAAAGAAATTGCTGAACAAACAATTTGGATTGGAATACAAAAGAGGAGGTATGAGGAAGTCCAGAAAATAAGTAAATTAAAAAACGGAAATGGAAAAGAGATATTGTTTTTAATTGTTATGTTTTTTGTTCTTTATTGTTGAATCTTTTTTTGTGTGTGTGTTTTTGTTATCTTCTTTTTGAGATATGTATTGTGTATGTTTTTCTTTTCTTTCTTTGTTGTTCAAAACTTCAATAAAAATTATTAGAAAAAAAAATGAATATAAGCCACACCCACAAATAAGCTGCACCTTTAAAATTCAGTGTCTTGGGGGAGGCTTGGGAGCTGCAGATGGGACGGGTGCCATTGCCCTGTGCTCCCGGGATGCTTTGGGGGGGGGGGGAGCTGTGCCGCTTTGCCGGTGGCCTCCCCCCCCCCGATGGCTATGGGGAGGCTTGGGAGCAGCGGGCGGGAGGCACACCGTTGCCCTGCACTCCCGGGCTGCGGGGAGAGTCGCACCACTTTGCCAGCTGGTAAGGTTGCAAATAAAAGCCACACTTCAACTTTTCACCATCAGAATTTGGAAAACAGTGCAGCTTATTTTCGGGCCAATACAGTACCGAGTTTTACAAAACAATGACAGCCCTGTCCATAACCATGCTGTGTTAAAATGTACTGGAGAGTACTGGGGAGTAACAATAATGAATAATAACAACCACCACCACCCTTAGAGTGAACCTTACAGGGCAGGTTGCAACATTAAAACACATAGTTGGACCTTTCATGGTTCCGCAAACATATATGAATATAACAAGGAGATAAGCACCAGTCTCATTAACATCTCTTCTGGCTTGCTGAATTCTTCTACATTCGAACCAAAATGAGACACCAAAGGCACAGAAGTGTTTATGAGAGGTTGGGTTAACATTCACCTGCCTGAAATGCATGTTCTGCTTCTTTCATTACCGACTAGGCCAGTTCCACTGCTGTTCATTGTCTCCTCTTGCCTTTCGGGCACACAAACACTAACCTCTTTCCACATTGGTCAAAATTCTGTATTTGTCATATTGTTTCTCCCAACTTTATTTGTAGACAGCAAATTGCCTGACAGTGGGACTAATTTACAGTGGTTCCAATTAACATGCTCTTTTATTTGCTGCTCCTGTAACTGTCCATCCAACAGCACACTGCCTCAGCACTGTAGAAAAAGAATCCTTGTTGTAACTGCAAGTCATTGCCATAATTGCTCTGGGCAGCAAGATCAGGAATTTGAGGGAGTGGGAGAAAAGAGCAAAAGTAAAACTTGAGGAGGGGGGAAATGAAATTTATCTGCACAAATAGTCTTGCTCTTTCTGCTCTTTAACTGGTGCTTTGGCCAATTTTACATTAAGGTTTTGAAAATTGGCCTTTTAATCACTTCCTCACAGTCCCACTGTGAGGCAATTTGCTGCCTACAAATAAAGCTGTAAATTATTATTTTTTTATCAGCCAGAAGATGAAGCTCCTCAAAGTTGGGTCGCTGCAAATGCTTTTCAGTTCTCCAATCCCTTCACATTTCATTAGATTCTCTTATTTTGGATTCATAATGACTCTGCGCTTTAGAGAAGGGCTACATGTAAGGAAAGTGCCTGTGCAGCCCATAGGCTGCAGGTAGATACCTATTTTTTTAAAAAACATTTTAGTTCTCAGGACTGTTAACGCAGAGGAAGAGGAAAAGCTATTAGCATCCTGCAATTGATTGCCGAATTCCCCACCAATGTTTCTTCAAATGGCACCAAGGGCAATTTCCCAGATTAAAACTGGAGACACACTTTCTGTTCCACTCAAAAAGGCATTTCCCCCTTGATCAACTCCTTGACCCCCACCTGAGGCATTCTTGCAAATGAGGGACATACCAGTTAGCATTGCCTCCTACCCTCCTCTTTTACTTCATCAGACCGTGCTTTCTGAGCACTGATGATCTTCTGAGCTTCTACAACTCTCTCTCAAGTAATCATTGGCGCAGCATTTGTGTGTCATTATTTTTTTTAAAACACACACAAATGTATAGAATGGGAGTTCTCCTTGGTGCTGAAATTGGGGGTGGGGTTGCACTGGACAGACATCCTGAGAATGTAAACAGTGGACGCTCGGGTTGCGAACGTGATCCGTGCTGGCTGCACGTTCGCAACCCGCATCTGCGCAAGCGTCTAGGGAGTTTGTGGGATTTTGGAGTAGTATTTTGTATATTATGGGTACCATCCCTCTACCCTGTCCCTTTGTTGTTAGGAGGTGGTTTTCAAAGGTTGTCAGGGGCCTAGTTGCTACTGATTTTACTACTGGATTGTTTAAGAGGGCGTGTAATTGGTGATGTGTTAACCAGGGCATTTGGGTGTCTTCTAGTTTGTCTTGTATTTCTTGTGTTGCCAAAGGTTTGTTATTTTTATAGAAGTCTATTAGGCGATATAAGCCTTTGGTTTGCCAGGTTTTAATCTGGAGGTTTTGTGCTGCGTGGTGGAATAATGGGTGGTACGCCAAGGGAATTAGTGGGGATGGGGTTGGGGATAGTTTGCCTATTACTGTTTTCCATGTTTTGAGCGTGGTCTGTGTGTACCTGTTAAGTGTTGTGGGAATTTTCCTTAGTTTGTTTGGGAGGAGAGGGTATGCTGTGGTGCATATTTTCAATTGTGTCTTTCTCTAGGTGTATCCATTATTTTGTCTCATCTTCTAGTATATATGGGATTATATGGCGTATTTGGTTGGCAATGTAATATGTTTCTATGTTGGGGACTCCCCATCCTCCTTCTGAGGTGGGGAGGTGCAGGTATTTGGGGCTTATTCTTGGTTTTTTGTGTGAGAGAAGATAAAGGAGTGTAGTTTTCTCTGCCATCTGCGGAGTTGGGTTTGGGAAATCCAGACTGGGAGGGTTTGGAATAGGTAGGTTAGTTTTGGGAGGGTGATCATTTTGATCATGGCTATTTTGTCTGAGAGAGTGAAATTCATGTTGTTCCATCTTTTTAGGTCTTTGTTTATTTGGTGCCACAGGGGCTTGTAGTTGTGGAGGTATACCGTATTTTTTGCTCCATAACACTCACTTTTTTCCTCCTAGAAAGTAAGGGGAAATGTCTGTGCGTGTTATGGAGCGAATGCCTACGGATGGCTGGGGGATCTGCTGCAGTCGTGAGCAAAGGATCCATGGTTCCCCTTCCTTCCCTCCTCCGTGGCTCGCTTTGAAACAGCAAAGCGGGAGAAGAGCCACTGAGTGGGGAGGAGAGAGGGACAGAGAGCCTGCTTGCTTTAAAGGAGCAAAGCGGGAGAGGAGAGGAGCTACTTACATGAGTGTAAGCGGCTCCTGTCCGGTTGGCTCCTTTAAAGCAACCATGCTCTCTGTCCCTCTCTCCTCCCCACTCAGCTCGCTAAATAGCAGCAAAGTTTTTCAGCTCGCTAAGCCGGGGAGGAGGGAGAGAAGCAGAGCCTGCTTGCTTTAAAGGAGCAAAGCGGGAGAGGAGAGGAGCCTTCTCCCCTTATACCCCTCTTCTGCATTACTAGCAGCATCCTTCTCCACCCACCCCACGCGTGTTCCTTCTCCCCTTAAACCCCTCTTCTGCATTATTAGCAGCATCCTTCTCCACATACCCCACTTAAATACTCCCTCCCCACTTAAAATGTGGTTACAAAGCACAGATCCACATGGATCCTCAGGATTTTTGCACTGGATCACCCCAAATTCACCATCAGATCACATAGCATGTCCATGGCTACAGCTTGCACCAAAAAAATCACGCACCCACTGTTGCCTGGGGCCACAGTGGTGCAAAAACGTGGTTACAAAGCATGGATCCACATGGATCCTCAGGATTTTTGCATTGGGCTATCCCAAACTCACCGTCAGATCACATGTCTGTGGCCACAGCATAAACCACAAAAATCATACATCCACTGTTTCGTTTAGAATATTTTTTCCCTTGTTTTCCTCCTCTAAAAACTATGTGCATGTTATGGTTGGGTGCGTGTTATAGAGCAAAAAATACGGTAATTTATTGAGGTTTCTGGTTATTTGTACTCCTAGGTATCTGAACTTGGTGTGGCAAAGTTTTATCTTAGTGACATTGGTGAGTTCTTTTTGGGTGTGAGGAGGGTGTTGAAGCACATAGCTTCTGACTTTGCAGATGACCTAATGGTCACAACACCAGACCCCTTAAACACAGCAACCTCTCTAATCAGAGAACTCAACACATTTGCAATGGCGTCGTGCCTACCAGTAACTTTTGCAAAGAGCCCTAATTTATAGGTTCTGCCTTTTATTTCCACTCCCTTGATGTCTGTGGCTGCTTGGATTCAGATTGCTAAGGGTTCCAGAGCCAGGATAAATAAGAAGGGAGACAGTGGGCATCCTTGTTTTGTGCCTCTTTGGATAGCTATAGTGTTAGAATCCATATTGTTAGTTCTGCATTTTGCTGAGGCTTGGGAGTATATTGTTTGAGGATTTGTAGGAAGTTGGGGCCAAATTTCATGCTAGTTAGTACATGCCCCTGTTTTTGTAAGTTAAACAGCTTAGACAGATATGGTGAGACATGCTAGAGTCACAGCAAGAAATGAATATTTAAGAGTACAGAGTATACTGTGACTTGTACATAAAGTGGGTGAGATAATATGGAAACTCACAATAAAATTCAGTTAGATGGAAGAATGTTTAAAATTCTCTAGAATCATCATCCAGATGCAGCAACTGATGGCTAAATTTCCAAAAAAAACCCCTGCAAACACAAAGCGAGTCTGTAGCTCTCAAAGGGGCCCGGGTGCTTTCAACTGCAAAGCTAAGAGTCTCAAGCATTAGTACACTAAGCAGCCCTCTCCACTGGCATGCTAAGACAAAGCCCTTTAAAAAAGTAGTAGTAACAGGCCATGAGCTAAGTATACAAGACTAAAGGGATGACGGAAGCCCGCATGAATATTTATGACTGTCTGGTGTAAAAGAAGCAGAAATGGAAGCTAGAGTAGAGTGAAATGGCATGAAATAATGAGGAATGACACCCAGCTAGCAGGAGATCATTCTCAGAAGAGAGAAAATTCTACATACTCTGGCTCCACTGGAAGAGGGGGTGGGGTGGGGAATCAACCCTAAATTAGCCCCATTCTCAGCAGCACACAAATATCAACACCAACATTATCAAGGGTAATGGAAGTAGACTCTTGATAACCAGATCACACCAAACGCAAAATACATGCAGAATTTTGCAGATGTCGTCACTGAAGAAGATCCAACACCCCACACAATTAGATTCATAGCCTCTTCCACTTCTCCTCAAGAGAAAGTGGGGAAATGCTCGTTTATTATGTCGTCTGGAAAGCAAGAAGTTGCTGAATGAATGCTTGTATGCTACAGGGACTTCCCAACCATGAAGTCCTTGTTGGTGAAGGCTGTACATTGGGAGTTCAAGGCAGAGTCTTACTCCTGTTCCCCCTTCCTCCATAGAAGCAAATGATACAAATCATTTATATGGAAGGAGGAAAGGGATGTTTGTTAGGCCAAGTTTAAAAACACCTGGTGGCTGGGACAAGAGGCTCTAGTTCAACTCTGATACTATATCCCATTTACTTAGTTCCACTGAATTTCAGCGGGAGGCACTGAGAACAGAACCTGCTCCTATAAGCATATTCTTATCCTCAGTTTCTAGACCCAAAGCATGATGAGCCCAGGCTGCCAGGCCGTGGTGAAATGCTTATTTTTCTTTCTTTTTTTTACACTGCTAATGAAATAGCCTAACCCATATTCTCCATATTCCAAATGGAAGAAACCAATGTTTTAAAATCTATTGTCTAGCCTTGTGAAAATTTCCTTCCTGTCTTTATCTGGGAATAACTTGTGCACATTTTCAATGCAAACATATACAGATGGATTTCAAAGTAATACTGAAATCTTTGGTCTCTGAATTTACATCAGCAACCTATGCAGTCTTCTGTACAGTGGAGAGCTTACAAAAAAAAAGTAGGCTCCACCTGCAGATAAGCCTGGAGAGGCAACAGATCCTATTCTCCCATCACAATTTGCCTGCCTCCAAGTGCAAACTGGAGGGCTTAGTTCCAGTCAGTCTGACAGGCAATATCTAAAGTAAACAAGATTTTTCATGCCTACTTGCTGGCTGCTGGCGCATTCCTAAGAGTACTCTCCTAGCTTAAGAAAAGCAGCAAGTTTATCACCTCTACAAGAGCCAGATGTCAAGCAAGTAGTACTCAGATCACACGTTTAGAGAAAAGATGATTGGGAGAAGATGCGGTGTTGAGTTTTAGAGATTCTTGTACTGTGTTGTGATCTTTTGGAATTTTCATCTATTATCCTAGCTAGGACTGCATGTATTCTGCACCCAAAAGTGTCAAAAACCTTGCGTCCCACTGGGGAAAGGTCCCTCCCCAAATTATCTGTATTTCAAAATTATGCACTCAATTGTATTTTTAGGTTTCATATTTCCTTCTTTTAGTAAACTGCCCTGTGTATAAAATTTAAGGGCAACAAACATACTTATTGAAATATTAAAAGCTGCTTAATTTGCACATCTTTTTCACAATCCATAGTTTATATCTCAATGATCTTTTTTTTAAAGAAACAACAACCCCCCCCCAAAAAAATGATAGAAGGAAAGTTTGTAACAGCGTTTTTTCAAAAAAGGGATTGTGGGGTGTGGGTGGGGAGTTCAGGAAATAACAAGCCAATTAGCTCAATGTCCATTCCAGGTCAATTAGTTAAAATCATTATTAAAGATATTATTAAAGACATATAGAGCATCTACAACAGGACCATGGGTGTAGCCAAGGGAGGGGCAGCTGCCCCCCACAAATCAATTAAAATATATAGCAAACTGAGGTTCTGCCCCCCCAACAAAATGTCTGCCCCCCTAACAAAAATCCTGGCTGCGGGACTGTGGGATGAGTTGTAGTCCAAAACATCTGGAAGCACTAGGGGAAGGCAACAGTAGTCCAATTTGGATGCAACCAGGGCATATTAATTAAGTTCTAAGTATTAGCAGATGGCAAGATAAAATATATTGACAAAAGGCTCCTGGGAGGTTGCATCCCCTGCCTCCAAGAAATATAATCACAGCTGTCCTTGCATCCATTGGTCAGAGAAGGAGAGGCTGCAGGGACTGCCAGCTACGCTAGAAATGTAGAGTACTTTGTCAGATCAGTAATACTGCTTATATTAAGTAACTTTAAAATATAAACCCAGAGCAGACCCCAAGGAGCACAACTAGCTTTTTGGGTGGGGAAAAATCTTATCTGGAGATGTTAGATAGGCTTGCTATTCTGCTCAGTGTCAATATGTATATCTTTTTTTCAAAGTGCTTTTTTCCTTTTCCTCTTGATGCTGCTATTATTTGAGAGATTATACCTCAGACATTTGTTGCAGTTCTTTGTCAAGTTGATGGGTTTTTTTTGTACTATGCTTTTCAAAAATCAAATAAAAATAATATCAGATAATCTTTGCCTGAAGATTTACAGTCCTGTTCTCTAATCTCCATACAGTGCTTGTTATATTTGAAGCACTTGGAAAGCGATAAACAGTTCAAACTGAATTTTATTTAATTTCACATCTCATTATTGGTAATACCACTTGAGATTTTAGTGCAAGAGTAGTCAGATCACAGAAACACACAGCAGCAGGCGCTAGTAGCATGGAAAAGGAAGTATTTCTAAACCTTTTTAATATCATAGGTAAGGTAAGTCACTCCTGCCCCCTGAAAACAGACTATTAACAATATGATAAGCTCTTTCAAGTGGCAAGATATTTGAGGGTGCATGTTTTTTTCCACAGCCTGAAGATTACATCTATTATCTTTTCCCCAAAGATAAGAGGAAGAGCTAATCAGCAATTACAGACAACAAATGCCAGACACAAAGGCTTCAGAACCCCTCTGAGCTGCACCTGCCATTGCATCCTTAAGCACTATTTCAGCAGCAATCCACACCTAAGATGCAATCAAGTACATAAGCAATGGCATTCCCACCCCAACATTTAGGGACAAATGTGTAGCTCTCTGGAAAAAATATCAACAGGGGGCTCATCCCCATGCTCAAGTCTGGACATTGATGTTAACTTTAAAAAAATGTTGTCTGTCTGAAATTGGGATACAGAAAGTTAAGCAACCAAGATTAACTGTCCTCCTTTAAAAAAGAAAATACATCAAAATAATAGAAACTGACCAGAAAAACCAAACCAAGCCGGATTCCTTTCAGGAGATTCCCTTTACAATATTCTTGTAAATACCAAGCAAGAGGCATTTTTACAGCTTGAAATACAAATTTTAAAGGTTTTTAAATTATGCAGGGTGGGCAGATTTCAGGATACATTTCAACCCTAGCAAAGCAACAGTTAAATCTGAGATCCAACTTTTGGTTGACATTTGTAAGATTACTCAGTGTAATCTCTCTCCCTAAACTTCTTGTCATTATAAGCAACCTTTAGAAGATTACATTGTGGTGTGCAATCCCTTGGGCTGTGGAGGACCTTGAGCAAGAGACCCTAGGGAAGCAAAGAACTTTCCGAAAAGGCAGCTAGGTTTGCCCCATGGATCTCCACCACTGCCGAAGGAAGGAAGGAAGGAAGGAAGACTGCCAAAGGAAGGAAGGAAGGAAGGAAGGAAGGAAGGAAGGAAGGAAGGAAGACTGCCAAAGGAAGGAAGGAAGGAAGGAAGGAAGGAAGGAAGGAAGGAAGGAAGCCGGGTAACACTTGGCTCCAGAAAGTAGCAACTGATATAGGTTGCCGGTGTGTGTGCACATGCGAGCGCAGGCATCTTGCTAAGAAGCGTGTCTTGTGAACATCCACATGGCAGAAAGAAAGCAATTCCAATTAGATTCTGCAGTGAAATATGCAATATCTATCTATCTATCATTAAGTGCAAGTAAGAGATCCAGAATCACTGAAAATCAGCTACTCTTTATCTCCATCTGCTACCAACGTTTTCTGGACTTAAGGGGCTACTGGGTCTTTAAAATCAGATGTGGGCAAGTCACATTTAATTGTCACAGAACTGCCAAGAAAAGAAACACAGGACTATGCTGGCCACTGGGCTGAGCGCTAAAGGGCTGGGACAGACACCCAGGACAGTGCTGAAGCACTGGAGGAAGGAAAAACGGGAGACAGAGGGGCAGGTGTTGCTTCATCTTGGCTGCTTGTAGAGGGACCAAACAGTACCTGTCCAAGGGTAAGCAGATAAGTGGCAGATACTGGGGTTTCAACATCTTCAGAAACATCTTCTAGTTTTGTAGTGTATACCACAGTGCTCTGACACTAAGACCATTGTTATTATCTTAATAAAGGTTTGTTTGTTATGTTTTAGTTAGCATGAATTTCAAACCCTTTCATTCATTAACTTCAGTTACTCCAAGGAAGCCAAACATGGAGAGAAATCAGTGTTTTATATATGAAGTGCAACAGAAATATTATGTGCCAAAAACAGGCAAACACAGTCTTGGCTAGCCAAATACAAACAGCTATATGATGCTACTAAGTCACCTGTTTTAGTTCCAGCAACCATCATGCCACACTTAATGCGAAACGCAGGGCTTTAATTGGATGGTTGACATGTGTCTGTATTGGAAGCCAATGTAAATGCCTAATTAGGGCAACCTTTGGAATGTTCAAAGGTCCTTGAGTTACTATTGATAAGACAAAGGGACATCATAAAAACTTAAGCATGCCTAGAACAGAATTTTTGCTTCTCCCAGCAGCAAATCACACCTCAATTTGGGGAGGAGGGGTTTAAGCCCCTAGGTTTTTCTTTTATTTGTTCGATGGTACAATATAGCAAAAACTAAATCTGGACCTCCTGCTCTCTACCTATAGCCAGAAAGTTTGTCCTTATTATTACTGTTTCAGATTGGAGAATTAGTGTGGTTAATCATGCCTGAACTCATATTTAATAACAGTAAAAAATGACAGCAGACAACAGCTGCAGATGGTTTGCTTGTTGTAAATTTCAAAACTATTATTTGAGTTCAAGCCTATGAGAAGTACATGTACCACAATCCAGTGTGATGTCTGAAAGGAGCCAATTTCCACATGACTAAGTGGGGAAGGGGGAGAACCATATGCTTTTGAGCAACAGTACACCTCATCAAGCAGCAACACTTTTCAGGTCACTTGGCGTTAATTTTTTTAGCAATAATTCACATGACAAAACCATAACTGCAGCAATATTCACTCTCAAGAGGATAATTTAATGCAATGGCCAATGGAGCAGATTTTGCTTCAGGTGGGAAAGTTCAGATCTTTTATTAGAGAGTCTGCTTAAAGGAGAAGAAACCTTCAAATTAACAGTTTAACACAGGCTGGGATTTTAAAACCTTACACATCTGTTTTATCTATGAGGGTGCTAAAAAAAACCAACCTGTCGCCAGAGTTCCTTTCTTGAAAAGCCAAAGCAAGTCAGATACTTTCCTGAGAAGGCTATCAGTACATGGGAGCATCGCCAAAGAACATAACGTTTAGGAGGAAGGGCCATTTTTAAGGGGCTGCTCACTTCCTTTAATTCTTCTTGCACCCAGTTAAGGTATTTTTACTCCATATTTTGACCATTTGTATACCACTTAATCACTGTAGTCTGTAAGTTAGACCACATAACTGGCTTGTTACCCATTGTTCTGAGAATATCAGCACTCATACGTGTCAAAAGGTTTTAGGCAGCAGATACAAGTGCAGGGCTGGCTACTGCTAGCTGGCCACATTTTCAAGTAGAGGAATTTGGTGGAAATGCAAGTTTCAAAAAGGCTGCCACTAAGCGTGAATATTTTAGTTACATAATTAACATTGCATGATCACAGTCCTTGTAGACTAGGAGACATTTTGCATTTCTTCTACAATGCTATTTATGCAATTTCCACTGCAAGCCTAAAAAGGATTGCATTTAAAACGAGACAATAAACGAAAGTATCAGCTTTATACCCTTTTGATCAGATCAATTTTCGAAGGCATGTACATGTTTTAAAGGCTTTTGTATTAAGGCATTCAAACTCAAAGAACAGACATCTTTAATTTGAGGCTTGAGCTACTTCTATTATTTATACATACCACTTCATAATTTATCCCCTATTTTGTCCTCCCTTCCCCTTTCCCCATTCAAAACTGTTTTCTTAATCATGTGGTAGCTTTTCAATGGATGTCTCACTTGCATGTCAGCCACCTTAAGCAAAATAAAACCAGGTATTCAAGAAGTGAGGCATCTGACCTAGTATGTGGCTATGGGAAGATTTGTTTGATGCCAGGGCTACTTTGCCATCTTACTGCACAAAACAACTGAAAATATGGTGAAAATCCCGTAAGAGAAGGCTTAGAGAGTTTTCACAATATAAATGTCCCTCACTGAGTAATTAAGAAGGCATGTGATCAATAAAGGCACTCCTAAAATTCTGGAGGCTAACATAGCTGAAAGGAGTTTAAAAATTATTTTAAGCATAAATATTTCCATTTTAAAAGACAGTATATTTCTTCAGAACATAACATTCTCTTTGCTTTATTTAACAGCTGCCCTGTGGTTTCCAACCTAAACATCACTTTTGTCTTTAATGCAGTCATTGAAGAAAGACTGGCTTTTCATGAGAGGCAGAAGCGGAAATGACTAGGTAATCCCATCACATAAGGATTTTACCAAGTAGATGCCTTATTCCCAATGGAACTGTGCAAGGCAATGCTTTCAAGCTATGCGGATCATACCATAGAATCATAGAATCATAGAGTTGGAAGAGACCACAAGGGCCATCGAGTCCAACCCCCGGCCAAGCAGGAAACACCATCAGAGCACTCCTGACATATGGTTATCAAGCCTCTGCTTAAAGACCTCCAAAGAAGGAGACTCCACCACACTCCTTGGCAGCAAATTCCACTGTCGAACAGCTCTTACTGTCAGGAAGTTCTTCCTAATGTTTAGGTGGAATCTTCTTTCTTGTAGTTTGGATCCATTGCTCCATGTCCGCTTCTCTGGAGCAGCAGAAAACAACCTTTCTCCCTCCTCTATGTGACATCCTTTTATATCTTTGAACATGGCTATCATATCACCCCTTAACCTCCTCTTCTCCAGGCTAAACATGCCCAGCTCCCTTAGCCGTTCCTATACCAGTTTAGTCAGTTTCCAACAACAGCAGAACTTCAAGGACAGGCTCATTAAATTGTAATCTGTATATCCCAATTGAATAGCTCCCCATTTACGTTCTGCCAGACAAGAGTTTTTAAAGGCTGTGACTGCTCTGCTGTTAATGTTACAGCTTTAAGTAGTTATCCAATACAGTGGTGCCTCGCAAGACGAAATTAATCTGTTCCGCGAGTCTCTTCGTCTTGCGGTTTTTTCGTCTTGCGAAGCACGGCTATTAGCGGCTTAGCGGCTTTAAGAAAAAGGAAACAAACTCGCAAGAACTCGCAAGACGTTTCGTCTTGCGAAGCAAGCCCATAGGGAAATTCGTCTTGTGGAACGACTCAAAAAACGGAAAACTCTTTCGTCTAGCGAGTTTTTCATCTTGCGAGGCATTCGTCTTGCGGGGCACCACTGTACCAGTAACCAAATGCCATAATAAAAAGATTCTACATTTTATATTTTGTTTTCTACCAGGATACTGAATACAAATCTCTCTTCTAAGATGGCCTAGAGCAGGCTTCCTCAAACTCGGCCATCCAGATGTTTTTGGCCTACAACTCCCATGATCCCTAGCTAGCAGGACCAGTGGTCAGGGATGATGGGAACTATAGTCTCAAAACATCTGGAGAGCCAAGTTTGAGGAAGCCTGGCCTAGAGACGCAAACCATCAATGAGGCACTGCACAAGAGAAAATACTGGCCTTCCATTTAAGCGCATCTTCAGATATCAGACACTACCAAGACAATATTAAATACTTTAAGTGGCCATGTTTATGGAAACTTTCTGCAAATCAGAAAAATCTAACACAACCGCTTAAGCCACCTGCAGGGCACATCAAGGCCTTGAGGTCCAGTTAATCATTTATGATGCCCCCCACTTTAGTGTGTCACATTAATATAACTTTAGAAACCTATGACAATGTAACACATGCCAGACATTACACAACAGGTCAAGGGTAATGAAGTTACATGCCAAATCTGCAAGTGGGTGATGTCAAATGAAGAAGGAGGATGAACAACATGGATCACAGGCATACTTGCAATAGAGCTGCTCTCAAGCAACCCAATTTGACAGGAAACTCCACTGCTTAGAATTCACACAGCACTGCGAAAGGGACATACACACACATTCTCTCTCTCTCTCTCTCCCCAGAACAAAGCACTGAGGTAGTGCAAGACATTACAGGAGATCCATCAAGATCCCATTATGATTTACTCTGGTTTCCTTGCAGTGGAAGTAACTTCCCTCTCACTGCTTTGACTTACAGTGGGAGCCATGCAAGAATTACCAGCCCAAGGAGCTATCAAGCAACTACCAATCTAGGGAAGATATAGTTGCAGATAACTGGACTTGCCCCACTGGCCTGTAAGGAGTCATATCGCTGCAGTATCATCATCTGGAGGAAGACTAATATCCTTGAGCTTTGGTGACTTTTCTATTTCCAAACAAGGGTGACATATGGTAATAACTCAAAGCTATAGTCTTCGTCCCTAAAGTGAATTAGCTTTATATTTGTGAGCAAAATTGAGGACAGTCTGCTACAGTCTCATAAAAGTCGCAAGGTTTTTATAGGAAAATGTCTAGCTTATTTTAAACAAAGCTACGTAGTTCCTGCTTTTAAAGTCTCATAGCTCATGCATCCCCAAAGAGCCAATGGTTAACAACATAATGACTTTCGCTGCAATATCAAACTAATGGACACATTAACTACGGCAGGCCATTCCTACTGACATCTGATTACCACCCATAGCTGTGTATGCAGTATGATTTACTTGCTAGTAAATCAAGTTAGGCTATAATGATAGTTCCACACTGAACACACTTCTGGATGCAAAGAACTGTCCTTTCTGTACCTGCAGTAATTGGGAGGAGGCTGCACTACGAGTACTGGACCACATACACCAAGTAATGGTATCAGCAGGCAAAGCAAATGGCCAAAACTAAGTACAGTGGTACCTCGGTTTACGAACTTAATCCGTCCCGGAAGTCCGTTCTTAAACCAAAATCTTTCTCAAACCAAGGCACACTTTCCCTAATGAGGCCTCCTGCTGCCGGTGCCCTTCTACTGTTCGGATTCCGTTCTTAAACCGAGGTAAAGTTCTCAAACCAAGACACTATTTCCGGTTTTGCAGAGTTTGTACACCAAATCGTTCTGAAACCAGACTGTTCTTAAACCGAGGTACCACGGTGGAGCTACATCAGCTAACAAGAAGCATGCACAGGACAGAGAATGAACTGAGCCAGAAAGCTGGTAATTCAAATGTCACATCAGCCATACACTTACTAGGTGGTCTTAAGCAAGAACAATGCCCTGCTTGATAAATCTCTGTAAATCTGTTGGATGCTAATTTACAAATCAGGATTAGAGGCAGCACTTTAGCTAGTTTCACAGTTTTGGCCTCCCAGGAAACATGAATTCACCAGGAACACAAGGAGGTTGGGGAAAAGAAGTGCTAAAGGTGGCTTTGTTGCAACACCAATAAACTGAATTGTTGAATGAGCAGCACTGTCCCTAAACTGAGCTACTCATGCTTAGCCTCAGCCATTTGCAGTACATTAACATTAGCAGCCCACCTTATCCGTTTGTTATAAGGATTACCAAGGAGGCGTTTGAAGTGCTTTGAATGTTTAAATAGTGTTTTCTCCAAGTAGCACTGTAATTAGCACAATGAAGACACAGCTGCATAAACAGTACCAACTTTAGAATGCTCTTACCATGTTACACGTATTTTGTAGCTGAGACTAAGGCAGGGGCAGCAGAATCCAGCCTTGGATTGTGGGGATCCTCCCCCCTTCCAACCTCACCATTCACGATCTGTCTGGACATGATTCCATTGCCTCTATGCAGCATGCACCGCCTAGAACTCTTCAATTGTATTTCTTTAATCCAAGTTCACAAAAGAACAATTCACAGAAGACAGGTCAAGGTAGGTGGAACTACAAACAAGGTGGTCTTCCAAGTCTGCCTGAATGCGCAGAATATCAGCCCTCTTTGGACCCAAGAGGTCAGAATTTGAAACTTTCAGAAACTTGTACAACAGGGGAAATAAAAAAACAGGCTTTAAAAAATGAATTCCACATACCCATGACCTTAATAATCCTGGACACAACTATGTCTAAAGACTGACAGTTCTTAAATAAGGGACTTCCCAATTCTACAGCTACCCGCCACTATAAACATTCACTAGTAACTACACTCAAACGGCAAATCAGTTCTGTTGTCGGATCATACAGATTCATGTAGTGATTTTTTCAACCAATGTGAATAACTTCCTGGGAAGATCAGCAGTGTGCTTCCCAATGGCGAAGGATGGAAGGGAAGGGAATGGTATAGGTAAGGATTGAGGCTGTAGACTGGGAAAGGCTATGTTCATCAATGCAAGTAAAGCAGCTATAGCTGAAAGGGAGGAGGATTCCACACCATTCTTTGGGGGCTTGGAAGCTTTTTTATGGGACAATTGTAAAATGGTAATCAGTTGAAGAGGCATTGGAGCCAAGAGTCTTTTCTTCACCAAGGGTGAGAAGTTAAGAGATCCATGAACTGCAACTAATCAGAAAGAAGGCACATCAGGGAACTATATGATGCTAATTAAGGTCAGATCTATGAAGCTGTTTCATGAGAAGAGAAGACTCCCTGGAAAAGACCCTGATGTTGGGAAAGATGGAGGGCACAAGGAGAAGGGGACAACAGAGGATGAGATGGTTGGACAGTGTTCTCGAAGCTACCAGCATGAGTCTGACCAAACTGCGGGAGGCAGTGGAAGACAGGAGTGCCTGGCGTGCTCTGGTCCATGGGGTCACGAAGAGTCAGACACGACTAAACGACTAAACAACAACAACATCAGCAAGATGCTAGAAGAGAGCTGATATGAGATTGCAGAATAAGAGCGAGTCAACATTTTTGGAAACCCCTCTCCAGTTGATCGGTGTATGTACATTATTATTTAAATTCAATTTTTTTTAAAGCAGTCAAGGTCTCATGTGTGGAGAAGTGACTGGTTGTGGCAATATAAAGACAGTTTCTCTGTTCATTGAACATACCTGTACCAACAGTAAAAGGGCAAGAACCCATTGAACACCCATATACATATCACAAACACACCACGTACACATTGTAAGCCTACTTCAAAACAGCAGATTGTTTTGTCACTTAAGCATGCTTGCTCAAAAGGAAGGATTATCTAATCTGTAAAAATCCTGCTCAACAATCCACAAGCATTTAGGTATTTGCTGATAGCTAAGGAATAGCAGTTTATCACAGCAGGATAGTGTTTCAGATCTTTGTATTATACAAATGTTATTAGACTAATGCAAGATGCAGCTGAGTTGCCTAACCCAAAAACTCAAAATGAAATGCACAGAAAAAGGCCTACAGCTCAGTTACAGACCTTTATAGACAGAAGATCCCAAGCGCAATTCCCAACATCTCTAGGTTAGAAGGATCATGTGCTACAAGGGTGCCACTTGTTTGTATGGTGTATGTTCTCTGCCTTAAATCCTGGGAATCTGCTTCCAGGGTACACAGTATTGCTGTCAGGGTACCCAACACTGGTCTAGAAGGACCAAAGGCCTGACTGAATACAATGCATCTTGTACACCATGGGGCTGTCTCAATTTGCACAGAGCAAGGCATTATGCTCAATTGAAGTCTTTGCCTTGTGATGTGAGGGGATGGTCTGGATATTTGAGTGGAGAAAATCACCTTGTTATTATCATGATCGCACCGCTACCAGGTGAAGTTTGGTCTTACAGCACGTTGCCTCAACAACCCTTGTATGCTAGGAGATCCATTAGGATGGTCACCACTGGATTCCTAGGATAGTCTAGATAATTTTGGGGTAGCTGAAGTCGGTGATTCTGTTGAGGTTTAGTCTCGCTATGGAACGGTAAATCACAAATGACTATCAACAATATCACTTCTGGGTTCCCTCTCCAGTGCTATGGAGCCCAGCATGCCCCTGATTCTCTAAGCAGCTCTAGGCAATGAAACAAGCCAGACTACTATTAGAACACAAAAGGCATTAAGACTCAATGTGCGACTGACCCAATGTGTTCAGAATGCATAATTTTACCTACCTAGCAGTAAAGGCAGAGAAGGACTACTTTACTGTCTCTGTTGCCTCCTGAAATAGCCTGTCAGCAGAGCTATCCGGAGTGGTGCAGGGCTTGTTGACATCTACCCCTGTGAATGGTTAATTGCCTACTGAGACAATTTTGCTAGGTATTTTGAGGATGAAATTGCTCACCTTCACGCCAGCTTGAATACTGTCATTAGTGCAGTGTCAAGCCATGTGTCCAATGCACCATTTTATCCCATTTTTGTGGAATCAGCTCGTTTTTGTGGCCTGAGGACTTGCAGCTGTCCTGCCTACATCCTATCATTTCAATATTTGCCTGTCATGGCTTACTCAAGTCATAGGGGGCAACGGCTGAGCAGGCGTGTGGGAGTGGTTAATGCATTTTTATGGCGTGGAGTGCAGCTCACCACTTTTGAGGTGGTGATGAATACACTCCTGTAAAAAATCTGACACAGTAACAGCTTGACCAACTGTGATTCATGGCCTGAACTCCTCTAATGAGCTCTTTGTATGGCTACCCTTAGGACTGGTTTGGAAGCTGTAGCTGGTACAGAATGCAGCAGCCAAGGTACTGAGTGGAGTGACAGTTGGGCTGGGGGTTTTTTCTTTCTGCCAAAGTTGCTGAGTTAAAAAAAAAAAGTTTAGAAAACTGGCAGTATGGCAACCCTGCCTGTGCTGATATTACTTGTGTTGAAGGAACTGCATATGCTGCCTGTAAGGTACTGAAGTCATATCCAGGTTCTTGTTATTAACTGCTCAGGTCTTTGGAGAAGTCTTGTTGGCTGCACCACTTCATCTAGGGACAATGCAGAAACTGGCCTTCTCCATGGTAGCACCTATATTTTGGAATACTCTGCCCCCATTTATGAGAGGCAGTAGAATGCTTCCAGCATTTATTGATAACCTCTCTCTGCTCAGGCATTTCCCAATCATTAATACTGGATATTACAGGCTGGAATTTTTTACCATTATACACAGAGAAAGGGTTTGAATATATGTTTTATTGCTGTAATGTGCTCTAAAGTTTGTTTTTAATAGAAAGTTGTCTAGAATTTTTTTAAAATAAGATGCATATGAAATCTTGGGTAAATGCAAAACACATACAGTCCTCTAGCCATAGCTGCCCAAATCCTAAACAATTTACAATTATACAAAAGATACAGTCTCACTCATCTACATACTCCGAGGCAGCAGTAAGTGATCTAGAAAAAAAAGTTGGAGCAGATGATCCTCAGGGTCCTTTCCAACTTTATGATTCTTCAAATTATCTTCCCTGAACAAGAATCCTGAAGTTCCAATTTGTGTCCTCAAGTACCTTTAAAATGTTTTCATATGATATGGTCAATGATAACAAAAGAGGCTTTATGTAAAGGTAAAGGTACCCCTGCCCGTACGGGCCAGTCGTGTCCGACTCTAGGGTTGTGCGCCCATCTCACTCAAGAGGCCGGGGGCCAGCGCTGTCCGGAGACACTTCTGGGTCACGTGGCCAGCATGACGAAGCTGCTCTGGCGAGCCAGCACCAGAGCAGCGCACGGAAACGCCGTTTACCTTCCCGCCGGAGCGGTACCTATTTATCTACTTGCACTTTGACGTGCTTTCAAACTGATAGGTGGGCAGGAGCAGGGACCGAAGGACGGGAGCTCACCCCGCCGCGGGGATTCGAACCGCCGACCATGCGATCGGCAAGCCCTAGGCGCTGAGGTTTTACCCACAGCGCCACCCGCGTGGGTGCTTTATGACAGTACCATAAACACAGATTAATGTGCGTTTGTCACTCATACTAACTCGAAGAAATGTGCTAGAAGAAGGTAGATAAGAGGTGCTGACACAGAAAATGATTCAATGCAAGTGACTAGCACACTCATGAGCATGATCAAAGTCTGAATGGCATAAGTCAATGGGATTCTTTGCCTTGAGGCAACCCTTAGCCATTTGATCCTTTCAGCTGTCCTTAGATCTAAGGGTGGGTTTTAATGGGGGTGCACAAACCAATTCTGGGAAAACAAAAATCCAAGTTTTTAAAATGTGAACGCTAAAACTCAAATAATAAAACAAAGCTTAGAGTTACATGAGAAAAAGCTGAAGGAACTAAACAGACTAAGGAGGAATGATGACGATATTTACTTACTTACTTACATGCCACCCATCTGACTAGGCTACCCCAGCCACTCTGGGTGGCTTCCCAGATTGTTTCAGTTATCAAAAAAGAATGTGACCAGTTTTAAAGGGGCCTCTTCCATGTCATTTAACCATTGGTGCCTATTTGCTAATGTCCCCAATCTGATATGCTGTTGCTGGCATACAGAGCTATGAAACTCATGGCCTGGATATCTGCTCCCATATAGGCCCTGCTGCCCATCGAAGGTGGGCTTGCACACTGTCCCTTCAACTTCTGATTTTGCAGCAAACTCTACAGCAAGCAGTTAAACATCTGAACCAGCAACTTCTGGTTTGCTGCAAAATCTAAGCACATGAGCCCAAATCTTGCTCCTGTAACACACAAGGCATAGAATCACAGAATTGCATAGATGGAAGGGACTATGAGACTCATCTAGTCCAATCCCCTGCAATACATGGATCTTTTGCCTGACTTGAGACCCATGACCCTGAGATTAAGAGTCTCATGCTCTACTGACTGAGCTATCTCAGCAGGATGGGAGTTTTTTGGACCAACCAGTTTATTGGTACCAAATCAGATATCATTTTAAGGCAGGTTATTTCTAGAAGAATGCTTAAGATTTTAATTATCCATCCAGATACTGATAGAATTACATTGTTCATTTCTACAAATTCTAATTTTGTTTCCACAAACCTAAATATCTATTTCAGCCCATAATGTTGGTGTTCCTCCACACACACACACACACACACACACCAAAAAAATCTTGTTCCCAGATACTATCAAATATCCTAGCAATATCCTAGCACACCACATGATCTCAAGAAGCAGTAACTAATGCAAACTTATCCTATTTGAATCACACGGTGGAATTGCTATGAAGATAACCACAACAGTGTACAATCCCTTTGTATAACCATACACACAAACGCACATGTTTAATCAATATGATGCAATTACTCAGCAATACCAAAAACAACCAAACAAACAACAGTTGGGAATCAGCTTAGAAGATCTATTAGATATGTTGGGGTCAAAGCATTTTAAATGTTTGTGGGATGCTCTCCCCAGAGAGGCTCCCTCAGTGCCTTTGTCACATATCTTTAAGAGCCAGGCAAAATAATCCCCCTTCTCTCAGGCCTTTGGCTAATTAAACAATCAATGTCCTTTTAAACTGGGGGTGGGGATATTGTTTTTATTCCAGTCCCAATAAAGCTTGTGCCATACCATTCCCAAATTATTTATTAAATAGGCACTGAGTCACTGGTGTGTGTGTTTGTGTGGTTTTTTAAGGTTGCATAAAGCAACAGTGTATAGTATCCACACATGCAATACTTACATTAAAGGTAAAGGTACCCCTGACCGTTGGGTCCAGTCGCAGACGACTCTGGGGTTGCGGTGCTCATCTCGCTCTATAGGCCGAGGGAGCCGGTGTTTGTCCGCAGACAGCTTCCGGGTCATGTGGCCAGCATGACTAAGCTGCTTCTGGCGAACAGGAGCAGCACACAGAAACGCCGTTTACCTTCCTGCCGGAGCGGTACCTATTTATCTACAGTGGTACCTCGGGTTAAGAACTTAATTTGTTCCGGAGGTCCATTCTTAACCTGAAACTGTTCTTAACCTGAAGCACCACTTTAACTACGCCGCCGGAGCACGATTTCTATTCTCATCCTGAAGCAAAGTTCTTAACCCGAGGTACTATTTCTGGGTTAGCGGAGTCTGTAACCTGAAGCGTATGTAACCTGAAGCGTATGTAACCCGAGGTACCACTGTACTTGCACTTTGATGTACTTTCAAACTGCTAGGTGGGCAGGAGCTGGGACTGAACAACGGGAGCTCACCCCGCCGCGGGGATTCGAACCGCCGACCTTCCGATCGGCAAGCCCTAGGCTCAGTGATTTAGACCACGGTGCCACCCCTGTCCCTAGCAATACTTACATTAGATAGTTCTTAACTCTCTAAATGCAATTTACTCACTAAGGGTCTTGCTAGCTTGTGGAAACACCACCATAACCATACAGCAAGATATTGGGGGAGCAAATCAACCCCTTTATGCCCCCAAAGCCAGCAGAAGATGAAGGCTGCACATCTGCAGTAGCCTCATGGTGAAAGAAAACTTCAGGAGGAGACTGAATGCTGCTGACAACCACCAAGGGCTGTATGTTAAGATGAAAGGAAGCAAACAGCCTGCTACTTGCTTCCTTTTCAGTCTGGGCCAAAAGTGGAAGAAGGGAAGCTGTTTTGTGTCTTCCAAGGGCACTGTTTTGTATTTTTTGCTGCAACAGATCCAACACCAGTAGACTTTCTTCTTGCTTTCTCTTGCAAGATTACCATAAATTTCCAACAGCATTCTCATGATCTAAACACTAATCAATTAACTCATCAGGGAAGACTATTCTAATCTACTGGATTAAAGTGGGAAACAAACAGCAAGTACACCCTTTTCAACAATTCCTGCAGGACAGGAGCTGTTGGTTCTGCAATATCATCTACAGATCTCAGCTGCCTCGTTGACCTTTGAGCAACTACATCACCGGAAAGGATTGAAACTTTCACAGTTTATACCTGTAACCTGACTTCCAAGCAAATGTTGGCAGTGACAGGTGGCATTGGGAGCTTGAAATCCAGGTTAGAGGGTTTCCTTTTTTCCAGTCACCCCACCTCCTCCTGGTATTCACACCTGCAAAGATTCCACGTGGAAGTGGATAGAGTAAGTCAACTGTCCTCCCCACTCTCCTCCCCACATAGGCAGGATGAAAAGTTTCAACTAATTTTTTTTAACCAAAGATTGCCAATGTACGCAACTGTTCTTTAAAAAACTATTCATTAGGAATTAGGTTCTTTCCCCAAAGAGCTAACTTTTTAACTCATTATCTGCAGTTGGTAAAGCAAAAAGGCCTCAATTTATTTTAAGCATTTATATCCTGTCTTTATATTTAAAAATTTCCGTGGAGGCTACATCTAGTTAGTCTCAAAACTGAATCTGCCCATTGCATCAAGAATAAGCCACACATTATTCCAAACAACTTTATATAGTGTATTAAAGATTATACACTGGCAGTCAGTCTCAAACTGCTATCGTAACCAGAACAACAACAGTAGCTGGACTGGGCTAACAAACTGAAAAATCATTAAGACCCCATTATTTATTTATATAAATTATATACCACCTTTCGTTTCAAGAAAAAAATACACCAGTATGGACATTTTTAGTCTTAAGCATACAGTATTCATATGTGTTGATATAGCAAAAATGTTAAGAAAAGGAATGCAACAATGTGGTTCAATCAGAAGCTGTAGCTTAAGAAATAACCACAGTCCAAGCAGATATAGACTGGGAGATAGAAAAGCCACAATATTATTTAGAGCAGATTCAACTTGCATCTCCAACTAGAACACACTTCTATTTTTGAAGCATATGTAAAAATAGAATTGCTGCAGAGCATCCAATCTCAGGCAGCATCCTTGATCACATGGTATCTCTGTGCAGGCATTTGGGGCTTTAACAAACTTAATTAAGAATCAGAAACACATAGTTAAAGGGAAGATTTATGCAGCCTGCACAAGAGGCCAGATCAGAGCCTTGGCATGCTGATTTACAGTAACTCCTAATAACCTGTCAGATGCTTCAGAAAATGGCAAACAGACCACTAAAAGAACAGTATTCCACTCTCCTAGGTGTAGCAGGAGCATATGACTTCTGTCTGACAATGCAAAATTAACTAAAGCATGAAACGGAAACCATTTCTTTCTGTTTTTAATAGAAAAAATCCTGACAGATGCTTACCACTTAGAAACCAAACGAGAACCTCCTGAACGATATGCCACTGCTTACCAGTAGATGGGGATTCAGTGTGAGGGTTATTACCCTGCTTGTGAGCATCTTGGATGCATCCAGCTGACCAGTTAGAAAGACGATTCTAGACTAAATCTTCTAAAGCCTGCAAAGTAGTTGGATTACGTCATCTGCTCGCATACTTTTATACAGCATCTTATACAGACTATACAAGCCATATGGGAGTTCTTACCGTCTCAACATGTAATTTTGCTACATAAATAATGAACTAAAGAAAGGTTAAATAGCAAAATTACAGCTTCCATTAATCAAAGCTATTCCATTTTTCTACATAAAATACAATCAACGCAGCACAGAAGAATGAGTAACATACGGTAACCAGGGTGAAGTAGTGGTTAGCACATTAAACTCAGACCCAGAGGATCTGGATTCTAATCGCCCCCTTAGCCACAAAGCTCACTGGGTGACCTTGGTTTAGTCTTGCTCTCTCAGCCTAATCCAAGTCACAAGGTTGTTAGGACTGAGAGTGTGTGTATACTCTCTCTCTGTATATATATATGTGTGTGTGTTATGAGAGCAAAATTTAAACAGAAGATACTGTACACCCTACATTGCTTTACAAAACATATCCATCACTTCAGAGTTGTACCAATTTCACTGCAAATTTCACAAACATTGTTTTCAGCCTACACAGATATGTTCAATATCTAGGTCAGCCATCTTTATACCACCTTGGCCACTGCACCATGTGGATCAACCTATCAATTTACATGAAATATACAAGAAGTTTTTGGTGTGAGAAGAATTCTACTAAGGTGGGGGAGAAACTACTAAAAGTATTTCTGAGATGCCAATCCCAAAGGCTTTATTCAGATTTATGCATCACATTATATCAAACAGCTATATCCAAAAGGCCCGAGGCCAACACTTTGCCTTCATTTTATCAATAGTTTCTTGGCACAAACAACCATCTTTAAATACTAGCAAAAAGCTCCTTGATTGCTCAGACCTACGTGACCTTTAGCATGGGCATGCTATTGCCCCCAAATGCACCACCTCTATACAGAAACACTAAAAAACACCCTCAGATATGGATTAATTTCCTTACCATCATTTCTAAAGCAGAAGACAGATGAAAAGATTACAAGGATGACAAAAGGGGATAATTTTCAATTATATATTTATATGTTATTATTCAATGTTCTGAATAACATATAGATATATTAAAAAATTGGAATCGCCCTCTCAATACCAACAGTGGTTACAAGTTCTCATTCGACTGACCGTGCAATCCTATAATGCCTATTCTGAAGTTTGCTGGCATCCATCTGTCTCGAGAGACAATGGAAGAGTGTACCTTTGGCTTCCAGGATAAAGTCAAACCATAGAAGAGTTACAGCGCCTGCTATGGCTGTAGAGACTGATACGGGAGAGACATGTTTTATTGCCCCACTGAATTCAAGGACTTACTCCCTGGTGAATGTGCACAGTATTGCGATCTCTTTGATGGGAAGCCAAAATTGCATATCCAGATAATGGCCAATGAAAGTGTTTGTACATAAAAAGGTGCTTTATATTGACATCAGACCGCTTTTCATTTTATCCAGTTTAATTTGCTGATACCAGCGCTCCATGGTGTAAGACTACCTCCCTCAGCTCTGCTATCTAGATATGCCATGACTTAACTATGGTCACTGTCTTCTAGACTAAAATAACCAACTGCAAATTGTTGGGGGAAACCAAAGCCTAGTCTCCTAAGAAGCAAGTGGGCATGTAGATAAAGCAAGAGTAAGTGAAAAGAAGGAAGATTTACTATGGTAAATGTCTAGACTACTAGAATCATTGGATTAGGTTGTTTTTCTGTGAGGAAACCGCATTTAATTGTGAAAACATGTATTAAACAGAATTGCCCGCCTTCTCACCTCATTCCACATCCAGTAAAGCCACAGAAACTGAGAATGCATCAATCAGCAAGGTTGTGGTTTCTTTAAAAATAAAAGGCTTAATATGCTATTATCTAAATCTTTTATTCTACTTGAAGCTTTTCTCTTTCCCCAAGACCACTATTTTTTTCTTCTACTAAATGGAGCATGTACCATACCAGGACCAAACCACTCTGCCAAGCCCACATCTGAAAACCATGAATTGCTTGTTCCAAAAAATTATCTAGTCAGGGATTAAGCAGTGGGAAAGGTCTCAATTATTACAGAAGCTTACAAAAGTCAATCGCCTAGTGTGGAATTCAATACTTAGAATATTGTCAAAGGATCAGGGTTGTCATTGAGGGGGAAAATAGCGGTCCAAAAAGCAATTTGCACACAACCCTTAATGAACAGGAATTCCTACCATCCTTACTCCTTTATCAGATTCAGGACCTCACACAGACTTGAAAGCAGGTACACACATTATAAACCCTCACATTTCCCCATCTGAGGAACAACAGCAGGGGGGGCTTTTGAGCCTCGAAGTTCAAAATGAATTATCTCATGCCTAGGAACAGCTGAAATATTGGAGATTTCCATAGGGTACTATTTTTATTTTTTGCATTTTTGTTATCTATTCCTGGCAGGGAAAGGGGTAGAGAGATATACAAAGAATATGAGGAACCCAGTGCAATCAAGGAGAGATAACATTTCAATGGGCTCTGGTTTCTTCTACACTGGAATGGAAGGAGAAGATTTAGGTGGCCCTGTTCGTTCCTAGAGATTAGAAACAGGAAGGCTCCCCTTTAGTGACCCTTTCCTTCGGCAGAATACGGAGAGGAAAAAGGAGAAAATCAAGGTCTCGACGACAACAACAACAACAACCAGGAGTGGCAGCAGGGAAGGAGGTGCTGGATAACAGAGGCACAGAAAAAGACAAGTGTCACCCGCTTTAAGCACCTGGCCATGCTAGAGAGAGCACCAGACAGGCTATCCAAGCTTCAGGCCTGGAGAGATCCGTGCATGGGTTGAATGACTCCCTCCATCTGCACCAAAGCCATCTTCCCCACCACGACAGGAAGAAGGTGGGAAGCAGGGATTTGGGCTGCTGGCTTGGGGGCCTCGATCCGAGGGAGGGGAAGTTGCTTAGGAATATGCAAGCAACGTACAAGCAAGAGGGGGAAGATGGCTGTTTCTGGGGAGGGGGGGGTGTTGTTGTTTTTTGGAGGGGGTCTTGGCCCCCAAGGGATTCAAGAGGCGGCGGGGGGGGGAGGATATTCCCTCCCTCTCTTTCCCTTTCCACCCAGAATATAGAGCCAAAATCGGGGGCGTCAAAATCCCGAGGGAGGAAAAGATCCAGCCGCACCCACGATGAAGGGGGGCAGGAAAGGAGGAGGAGGGCGGCGGCGGCGGCGGGGAGCGATCCGAGGTCTCCGCCTGAGCCTGGATCGGGTCCAACAGGACTGGCCGGGGGGGGGGGGGAATGATGCGGCGCGGTGTGGGGTGAAATAGGAGGCAGCCAGGTAGGAGATTTGGGGGGGGGGGTGTCTCACCGTTGATCCCCCAGCCCCAGCCCCCCACCCGGCTAGGATCGGGGCCTGACTCACCGCTCTGCTCCCCGAGGAAGACCAGCTTGAATTTCCGCAGAGGGTTGCCGAAGTCTCCGCCCGCCGACATGATGAGGAAGAGGAGGAGGAGGAGGAGGAAGGTGGGGAAGCTGGAAGAGGAGGAGGAGGGAGGAGCCGCCGCCCGTCCTGGGGCTCCCCTGGCTGGGCTCCCTCGGGGGCGGAGAAGGGGCGAGGGGGCTGGAGGGGGTGAGGGGGCGGGGGAGGGAAGGGAGGCCGCCGCCGCTGCTTCTCGCCCCCCTCGCTCGCCCGCTCTTCCCCCCGCGGCGGGTCTTTCCTGCTCCTTCTTCTCCCCTCACGGAAAGGCGACGGCGAAGGGAGGGAGCGGCCGGCGGGGCTCGGGGCTCTTCTCTTCTCCGGCGACGGGCGGCCGTCAGTCCCTCCGCCAGCCAGCCAGGCAGCCACGACGCAACGTCGCCCTCTGCGCCCGCTGAGGCAATCCCGGCCCCGCCTGCGGCCTTGCCTCTCCTCCCTCAGGCTCGCCGGCGCCGCCTCTTCCCCGGCTCCCTCCCCTCAGCTTGTTATTCGCTTGGCGAGGGAGCGAGCCCGGGCGGAGGGAGGGAGGGAGGTGAAGAGCGAGCGCGGAGGCCAATCAGAGGGCAGGGAGAGGAGGCACGTCCCGCCCCTGCCTCGCGCCTGACGGACGGACAGGGAGGGGGAGGGCGAAGAGCGAGACTGAAGGCCAATCAGCGGGCAGGGAGAGGAGGCACGTCCCGCCCCTCTTCGCGCCTGACGGAGGGAAAGAGGCGCGCCCGACTCGCCTGCCACTCATACCGCTAGAACAACCCAGGCGGCGGCGGCGGCGCTCGAGACGAGCCCCCGCGCATGCGCGCAAAAGGAAAAAGAGGGCGTGGCCCGCAAGGAACAGCGGGGTGGGGCTTGAGGTTGGCGGCGGCTGCAGGGTTCTTGCCTTGTTGCGCGTGCGCCCCCGGCCAGTGTTGATTGGTGAAGATACCCTCCCCTGGGGAGGCGGGGTTTTCCCTCTTTTATATTTCGTCTTCGCGTGGCATTTATTCTGAATACCCCGCGGTGTGTGCAGTCCAGGCAAGCTGTGCTAGATTTATGTACAGTATAAGCCAAACAAGCTGAAGCTTGGATGTACTGGATGTACATTTCCAAAATATAAGATAAAAAAGAAATCAAATAAAATCTACATGCAGCAACAGTGTTTTGTGTTGTGTAGGCTCCTAGGATGTAAGTCATGGGCCCCGCTTGATAGTCTGCTCCCTCAAATATCACTGGTTTGCTCATGGAGGTTCCATTTAGTGAGCATGACGAATGTATTATATAGCCATGGATTGCAGGTTGGGCGTGTTTCCTCCTCCCACATTCACATTACTCAGTGACACATTTGTGGTAAAGCCTTTTTTCAAATAGGCCCCATATGCATACCAGAAGACAGATGGACATTTAACAAGGAAGCTCTGCCCATCATCGCTGCTGCGAAAAACTCCCCTGATAACTATATGGCTGCTTTGAGGCTATTGCAGGCACAGCAGCTCTGACAGAGGAAACCCCTAAGTATAGTCCATCCCAAGAAATATGGGAACAGGAAGCAAGGATGCCCCGTCAAGAAGGCTTGAACCCCAAAACACCACTCTTTGGGCCCTTCCAGTCTGCCACTGTTTTGGAGTGGGATTCAGTCACATACTGACAAAGTCAGGTTGCACCTCCTTCCCCAGAAGATCAGACTTGTTACACTAAGGAAAGTGATGGGGAAATGTACTGGAAATTGCAAGGCAACATTATCTAACATCCCTGTGAACTCATAATGGATGCTCAATAATTAAGCAACTTTACCTAACATCCTTGCAAACAAATCGGCACAAATCCACATTAACCGCGTTGTTTACAAAGCGATGGTTCTAAGTCAGGGGTAGGCAATGTTGGAGCCTCCGCTACAACCGAGCTGGAAAAGCTCATCCTCCGGTCTAGTCCTTCGGAATCGCCTCCGATGATGATTAACGACCTGAGCCTCTGATAAGGCTCCAGGCACGTTCCCTCATTACACAGAGTATCCAGCAGCAGGGAAGAATGAGAAATATGAGCTACATTGCAAAGAGTTTTTCTAACTACGCAGACAGAAAAGAAACATCCTCTCTCCGTGAGAGCAGAGAGACAACTGGAAAAACAAAGGAACAGGAAACCAGTAATATCACATCCGCCTCCCGTCTTCCAAGAGACTTCCAACAGTCTGGAATGTCTGGAATGCAAAACAGAGTCTTATGACTCCAAGCACTGCACAGTGGCAACACACAGAAACCTAACAGGCAACCTAAGGCCTGGGGGCTGGATGTGGCCCAATTGCCTTCTCAATCCGGCCCGCGGATGGTCCGGGAATCTGTGTGTTTTTACCTGAGTAGAATGTGTGCTTTTATTTAAAATGCATCTCTGGGTTATTTGTGGGGCCTGCCTGGTGTTTTTACATGAGTAGAATGTGTGCTTTTATTTAAAATGCATCTCTGGGGTATTTGTGGGGTATAGGAATTCGTTCATTTCGCCCCCTCCCCCCAAATATAGGTCTGAGGGACCACAAGGTCTGAGGGACAGTGGACCGGCCCACGGCTGAAAAAGGTTGCTGACCCCTGCGGATGAAGTGACATACATTGCCTAAGTTAACCTGCGGATGAAGTGACATACATTGTGAAGAAAGTGTACCAACTGACCAGAAAAAGCTGACATGACCCGCTCTTTTCTGCCTTTTATCAGCAGCTTCACTTGCAAGAATTGGCAGGTAACATTTTAACAAAGGAGCACTAATCCACCTGTTAGGTCTTGCACCGTCAGCTTCTGCTAAAGCTATCACCAACTCGAGTCTAGTCAAAAAGCCAGTACAGTGGTACCTTGGGTTACATACACTTCAGGTTACATACGCTTCAGGTTATAGACTCCGCCAACCCAGAAATATTACCTCGGGTTAAGAACTTTGCTTCAGGATGAGAACAGAAATCGTGCAGTGGCGGCGACAGAAGGCCCCATTAGCTAAAGTGGTGCTTCAGGAAAAGAACAGTTTCAGGTTAAGAACAGACCTCCAGAACGAATTAAGTACAGTGGTACCTCAGGTTAAGTTCGTTCCGGAGGTCCGTTCTTAACCTGAAACTGTTCTTAACCTGAAGCACCACTTTAGCTAATGGGGCCTCCTGCTGCCGCCGCGCCGCCAGAGCCCGATTTCTGTTCTTATCCTGAAGCAAAGTTCTTAACCTGAAGCACTATTTCTGGGTTAGCGGAGTCTGTAACCTGAACCGTATGTAACCTGAAGCGTATGTAACCCGAGGTACCACTGTACGTAACCAGAGGTACCACTGTACCCCTAACAACATCTTGATTTATAAGAACGTAGAATGCATCCAGAGTAATTACTGTTCCTAATACCCGCTGTGAAAGAACAATAAAAAGGGCGACTTGTCCATAAATAAGCACATATGTACCTAAAGCTATCTGATGGCATTAGGGGCTTCCACTGTGCTTTCTGCCGTATTCCTGCACATTCCCAAAGGGCAGCCAGAATAGGATCCATTTAAATCATTTTGTGACTAAGGGTTTTCTAAGTGGCTTACTGGAAGTGCTTTTGTCGTGGTGAGTGAGCTTCAGTGGGCTGGAAAGAGGGGAAATGGCAGCAGGGCTCTTTCTGCAAGAGGGAGGCTGCTGGAGGCGAGTAGCTGGTGTCTCTTTTTCGAAAACCAGCCTTGCACCAGCTGCTGAGAATGTACGTTTCATAAGCCCCCGTCTCCTCCACCTCAGCTGAAATGAATGGGAGCCGCCTGTCTTCCTACACAGGAACACGACCCGTGCTTTTTTATTTATTTCTTTATTTTCTGCACGCCTGCCATTCATTGCAAGCAGGCGTGCAACCCCGGGGGAACTCCCTGACTCGGAGCTGAGTCACGGGTTGCCAAGCACCTGTCCCCGAGAACATAAAAGCACGTCCGCTCCGCAGCAACAAATGTTTGCTTCATCTCTTGCCCACCCAAACCCATTATAACCAGCTGGTGGTTTCTGCTATGTTTGATGTTGAGTTGGGGCCGGCAGTTATTTTAATTTGGGCTTCACTGCAAACTGTTTATTACTATTGTTATTATTGGTTTATCTTGATATGTTTGTTTGTTTGTTTGTTGCTCATATAGGATATTTGTGTTTTGTTTTTTTTAAAATGTTTGATGCTTTGTTGTGTCGTATAGTTAAAGCTCTGGATTTCCCAGTAGTGATGTATGGAAGTGAGAGCTGGACCATAAAGAAGGCTGATCGCCAAAGAATTGATGCTTTTGAATTCTGGTGCTGGAGGAGACTCTTGAGAGTCCCATGGACTGCAAGAAGATCAAACCTATCCATTCTGAAGGAAATCAGCCCTGAGTGCTCACTGGAAGGACAGATCCTGAAGCTGAGGCTCCAGTACTTTGGCCAACTCATGAGAAGAGAAGACTCCCTGGAAAAGACCCTGATGCTGGGAAAGATGGAGGGCACAAGGAGAAGGGGACGACAGAGGACGAGATGGTTGGACAGTGTCCTCAAAGCTACCAGCATGAGTTTGACCAAACTGCAGGAGGCAGTGGAAGACAGGAGGGCCTGGCGTGCTCTGGTCCAGGGGGTCACGAAGAGTCGGACATGACTAAATGACTAAACAACAACAACAAGCCACCCAGAGCAGCTGGGGAAACCCAGCAAGATGGGCAGGGTATAAATTTTAAAAATATTATGATGTGGTGCCCCTAATGCTATGGGGCTTCTTGTATACAGTGCGGTTAAGAACTTAATTCATTCCAGAGGTCTGTTCTTAACCTGAAACTGTTCTTAACCTGAGGTACCACTTTAGCTAATGGGGCCTCCTGCTGCTGCTGCTGCGCCGCTGGAGTGCAATTTATGTTCTTATCCTGAAGCAAAGTTCTTAACCCGAGGTACTATTTCTGGGTTAGTGGAGTCTGTAACCTGAAGCGTCTGTAACCTGAAGCATCTGTAACCCGAGGTACCACTGTACTGTTATTTCACACACACACACACACACACACACACAAACACATTTCGATTTGCACTTGGATTTTGCAAAGGAGGAAATCTCTATCTCTCCTGATAGGGAGTGGCAGTTCATAATACAGTGGTACCTCGGGTTAAGTACTTAATTCGTACCAGAGGTCTGTTGTTAACCTGAAATTGTTCTTAACCTGAAGCACCACTTTGGCTAATGGGGCCTCCTGCAGCCGCCGCGCCGCCACCGCACAATTTCTGTTCTCATCCTGAAGCAAAGTTCTTAACCCGAGGTATTATTTCTGGGTTAGCGGAGTCTGTAACCTGAAGCGTATGTAACCCGAGGTACCAATGTAGGAATAAGAATAAGAATAATATTTATACCCCACCACTCTGAAGGGGGCATTAAGCATTTTCCAGGGTACCTCTCCCAGCACACCAGCTGTGTCCCTACTGCTATGATTGATACCTATGGGCTGTGGATACCAACGGTTTCCAACCCAACTGTAGGGCAGGGGTAGACAAGGGAGATGCAAAGCTTTCTCTTCAGCCCCCTTTCTCATAGTGGCAATGGGGGGGGGCGTGTCTGATGTTATTCTCAGTCAGACAGGCGTGACTGTGTGACGCGGCAGCTAAAAAAGCCAATGCAATTCTGGGCTGCATCAATAGGAGTATAGCATCTAGATCAAGGGAAGTAATAGTGCCACTGTATTCTGCTCTGGTCAGACCTCACCTGGAGTACTGTGTCCAGTTCTGGGCACCACAGTTCAAGAAGGACACTGACAAACTGGAACGTGTCCAGAGGAGGGCAACCAAAATGGTCAAAGGCCTGGAAACGATGCCTTATGAGGAACGGCTAAGGGAGCTGGGCATGTTTAGCCTGGAGAAG